CATGAGTTCAAAGTGAGTCCACCTACCTGTGGCCTTAGAAAGAGGGCTCTGTGACCAAGGACACACAGGGTTATCAAGTATTTTCTCACTCCTTCAAAGTCATTCCTTGGGCCTAGTGATGCTACAGTTTCAGAATGGTACTTATCTTGGATGCGGATTCTGAAAACGATGCCCATAAAATCAGCGAGAGATGGCATGAGGACAAGACTAGGGTTCTGTGCTTTTCGGAATCACACTCTGTGTTGCTGACACCCTTCCCCTACCATACACACCTTACGAGTAGGAGTCCAGCAACATTCACGTCTTTTACACTTAACAGGCCCCGACAAGAGATTGAGGAAAGAGGCCAAGGGAGTTTAATACCCGTTTTGGTGGCTCAGCTGTTTCTAAGGTCTGGTTATGCATCAGGCACTGTGCAGAGTTGCTTCAAATGAGAAAAACGAGACTCAAGAACCAAGGTAACAGAGAAAGCAAAGGACTAAGGGGGCCTTCAAGCTGGACTTGCTCTCCTGGCACACTGGCAATTTTCCTTATCCTACTGCTTTGAGATACAATGCCCAGGTTTCAGACTTAGTGCTCTCCTGATGTCAGTGCCCTGGAATATATCACAGAGTCGTTCTTAAACGTTATCAGTGCTCCTTGGTGGTGAGAGGATTGTAGTCAGGCTCTCTGCCATTAAGGGGACCTTAGGGCTGGGTTTGGGAATCTGATCGAGAACAAGTTACGGCTGTGCTGCTGGTGGGACCACAGGATCACAAGGACAGAGACTGCAATCCAAACAGACGAAGGGACAGGGCGTCCAGAGTGGCAGGTATATATTTTGCAATATCTGGAGCAGAAACAATCTTTGCTAAAGACAAACACATAAACTTGAATAAAGAACACCAGCTGACCATTGTGCTGGGCTCGGAGTTCTGAAAAGATGCACGGGTGGCTGATCAGGGAGCTGGCGTGCTGACAAGGTCTGCCTGTGCCTGCAGGACCTCATTAGGAATAAGGATGGAGAGGGCGAGCCAGAAAAAGTGGTGCCGTTGCCAGGGTGTGTGAGGTGCAGGTGGGAGAACCTGTAAAGAAAGTCACATTGTAGAAAGAGAATCTTTGTTCTCCTCCCGTGTTTCCTGATTGCTCAAGGACAGCAGCCTCGGGAGTACAGGGAATAGGCCCTGATCACACATAGCATGAGACGCTGTGGTCAGGCTCGAGGACGTACTTTCTGTCACAAGGTAACCGGGACAGGGGTGAAATAGACTTCGTTGCCTGTCTTACACATAGGAGAGGTGGGGAATGAGTGAGCATCTTCCTGGGTTAGGGGCGGCCAGCAGGGTCTTAGTGGACCTGTTCTTCAGAGGACGTGATGATTACAGGACTCCCGTGAGTGTTAGTTCAAAACCGTTTCATGAGCGGCTTCTTGTCACCCTCCCGTGTTCCATGCTATTCAAGACTTTTATTCTCACTGTGCTGATTTCTGTTTCGTTCTTTCTGCTCTGCCTTGACTTCCATGGTTTTACCTGGATAACCCCAACACATTTTCTGAACCCGGTTCTTCAAGGAAAGCTTTTTTCTTTCCTTTTTTTCTTTCTTTTCCCTTCCTCCCTCCCCCCACTCTGCTTTCTTGGAGCCCAACACCTGTCGCCTGTATTCCACTGAGAAGAGGTCATCCCCAACTCCACCTCGCTATAAATGTCCTAAGCACAAAGAACTTTCCTTATTCACCTGTGTGAACGTGAATGTTTAACATTGTGTCTGGTGGCCAATAAAAATCTGTGCACTACAGTGCTACACACACAGTCACAACACAGTGGCCAGGCACTTATTCTGCTGTTTCTCAGGTTTCTTAAAGGCCAAAGGTTACAGGACTCTTCCTGAACTCGGGTCAGTGGTCCTGTCTTTTGACGCAATACTGGTCTTCCTCTGTACGGTAAGGTCCTTTTGAGCCCATCCCCAAGCATAATGTTTGTTCTATTACTACAGCTTGTAGAATCAGGTTAAGGGCATGGTAGACTGCTATACAAAATGCATAGGAATTAGTTTTATTTGCTTAGCAGCTTGTTCAAGACTACAGGACAATGGCTGATCTTTTCATAGGTTTTAGCAATGTAGCAATGACTCTGCTAAGGCACAGAACTATGGTTACAGGGTTTTCTTCTTGTATAGAGAAGGACTGGAGCAGAGGTCAAGCATGGAAGGGTCAACAACCTCTTATTATTCTCAGTGTTTTTCAGGAACCAGTCAAATCATAGCTAAAGCTATTGGACAAGTCAAGACAATGTTAAACATTCAAGTTCACAGTTACTCAGTTAAAAGCACTGAGAACCTGAGGTAGGACCCCAGGACAGGAAAGGAAGGATGGGATAATGAGCCTATGAAAACAGAATGAGTGGAACACAGTGGGGTGGGATGGGAGAGAGGATACTTCTGAGCAATGATGGTGTCTTTGGAGAAAGGCCGGGAATGGGCAGAGGTCTGGGACGACGGTGGCCAGATATTTGGGAGCTGAGGCATTCAGGAGACATCTGGAAGAAATATGCACTGGGCACAGTATTGTTGGGCCACATCAGCAAGTGTGTGTATGTCTGGTGGTGGTGGAGGAGACTCACCCAAGGACAGAGAGTAGTGGCCACAGAGGTGAAGAACACATTTGGAGAAGAACTAAATTCTAGTTTGGGAAACATGAGATGACGCAAGAGACCAGAGAAATGAGTCCATGGGTAAAGGTGCTTGCTGCCAAGCCTGACGACCTGAGTTTGATCCCTGGGACCCTCGAGGTGGAAGGAGAAATTTAACTCCCTAATCTCCACATGTGCGGTGTGGAGTGTGCACATACATGTAGTACAGCTCGTGTATAGAGGTCAGAGTACAACTTGCAGGGATTCCGTTCTCTCCTTCCACCCTGTGGGTCCTGGGGGTTATACTTGGATCAACAGCTTGGGAGCAAGAGCTGTGCCGTTTCACCTACTTCATTCGTGTTATTTATTGTGCACTGTATCTGGCATCCAGTTTTTTATACCTTTGACTTTGTTTTGCCCCCGGCAGCCACTGATGAGCATGGTCTAGAATCAGACTGTATGAAGTGGCCTTTATTTCAGGAAGATGGAAAGGTCTTTTGTGTTTGTGATAGACAGGTGTTCCTCCTCTCCCCCCCCCCTTTTTTTTGGTTGGGGTTGAGTAAGTAGGAAGATTTGCTCCTGAATACTTGGACATAGGCTGGAATTGTCCCAAGATAAAGGAGGTTTTCTTAGACGAGTGAGCACTTGGGTCTCCTTCCCTAAGCTCTCCCAGAGGACCGGGGTGTCTGCTTCCATCAGACACGTGGTTCAGCTTCTTGACATGAAGAAAAGGAAGCTAACGTCCTTCCCTAGGGCTCACGGTATCAAATGGTTTTAGAGAGTCAGAAGAAAAAGGATGGAGTTGCAAGGAGAGAGAAGTTGGACTGCCTCCTCCGAGAGGCATCTGGGGCCTCTTCAAGTCATTGGCAGACAAGATTTTAATTGAACTGTACGTGTTCAGATGAAGCAAAGCCGTGGGCCTTCTGGCTACATTTGTTTTTTCTCCTTTTCCCTGATCTTTCTCGGTTTTTCTAATAAGGTTCACAATGATCCTTCCCCCTACTTTCGCCCCTCCCCAGTGGTACTGCTTGGGCATATAGACTTTCTCTCCTATATTGAGTTTATCCAGGAGGCAGAGCCTGGTAATCATTGCAAATGTCTCCAGTGGGGCATCTGAGGTTACAGCCAGCTCTTCATGCAAATGTCACTGTCCGGCACCCTGCTCTCTCTTTCCTGAGGCAAGGCCAGAATGTGGTTTTCCTGAGATGGTTGCCTGGCTTATCCAGTCTGGCTACCGAGCAGGTGGACAGGATCCCGTCCCCTCCTTGCCACCTTGCAGTCTCACAGGCTGCAGTCCCATTCCTTCCTGTTCCCCTTCCCTTTTTGTCCATCTCTTCCGTTTCTCTCTCCTTTCAAAACAAAGCAAAATGAATTCAAGGTTTTCCTCTCCCTTTTCTTCCTTATCTCTTCCGCTCTCTTGAAAACACAAGCTAAGCTTCAATTCTTCTTGTATTAGCAGATGGTATGCTGAGGTGTGACTGGGTTTGGTGCCGTGGGAAGGTGCAAGAAGCTCTTTAGAGATGAATGTGGGGTGGGGGCTAGAGGATAAGACCTTGCCCCTCTGGGACAGCAGCATAAGTCGATCGAATACCAGATGCATGACTTCCATCTGAAGCAAATTCCGAGTCTCTGCTTTGATCACTTACTTCTGTCTGCCAGGCATTTCTCTTCATTTTTAAACTTAAGGGTAGTGGCACTTGCCATTATTAGCTTGCTTGAATGTCTTTAGACACATGGTATGTGGGCCGGTGAGTAGGCTCAGTAGATAAAAGTGCTCACTGCCAATCAAGTGGCCTGCGTTCATTGCCCAGGATCCACATTGTTGGGGGGGGGGCAGACTCCAGCAGGTTGCTTTCTGACCTCTGCAGGTGTGCTGTGGCATATCTCTGCGAGTGTGTGCGCGCACACGCAAAAGAAAATAACGTAATGGTTTTAAAAAGACATGTCTATGAAATATATGTGAATGCTTTGAAAAGTGAGATTATCATTATGAACAAAAGGGTTGACGCATAGTGTTTGTAAAATGAGCTGGTGATATTGAGTGAACGCCAACGATTCTTTGAGGGCTTAAATTATTTTTCCTAATAGCTTTCTGCCTATCATAAGTAGTAAAAGCTCAAACTGGATTGGATGGGGAGATTGCAGGATAAGTGGGTAAATACTTTAATGCCTACCTGCTGGTTTCTAGTCTTATTTTCCTTTTTACACTGGCATTACTGCCCCCTGCTGGCCAGTAGCAGCATTACAGTACAGCGAGCGCCTAGTTGGGTCCTCTGATTTTCTCAGCCTGTTGCCTGGGTCCTTTGCATGGGTCTCTGGCCTGCCATCACTGTCAGCTTTTCTTCCTTCCTCCACCCTCTCACCTCATTCCCTGTCTCTCTTTGCCCCCTACAGCACTGCCAGTAACTCCAACCGCAGCACGCCGGCCTGCTCCCCCATCCTCCGGAAGCGGTCCCGCTCGCCAACGCCACAGAACCAAGACGGAGACACCATGGTGGAAAAAGGCTCAGATCACTCCTCGGACAAATCCCCATCCACCCCGGAGCAGGGTGTGCAACGCAGTTGCTCTTCACAATCTGGTCGAAGTGGTGGCAAAAATTCCAAGGTGAGCAGACTACGCTGGAGCCTCAGTACCCCTCCTTAGCTAGCTGCAGGAAGAAGGTACTGACTGGGTACTCACGTGCTTGAACAGCCCCAGTGTCTATGCGCTCAGGTCAGGTCAGAGCCATCAGGGGGAGACCCTAATTGATTAGATTCCTGTCTAAGCACTCAGGGCGAGTCCTGAGCCACATGCCCCTCCTCTCCCCCACTTTCCATCTCTCTGTAGTATCTAAGAAACTTCATGACCCTTGAGATAAGGAGGGGGCTCTGGGGATCAGGAGAGGTCATCTGCTTAATCCTTTAAATTTGGTCCCTTGAACTGGTAAAGGGACACTATTTGGGACACCTGTATTGCCAGAAAGAAAGGCTTCAGGGAACCTTCCAGAGTGTTATTTTTAACCTCCTCCTTGGCTGTCACCCTGCCTTACCTACATGCCCACCTCCTCATCTTGCAGAAGGGACAGTCCCAGGGCCTTTCCTTCCTGTCCTTGTACACCCGTGCACCCAGGCTCCTGGTCCAAGGCTTAGCACAGAGACCTCACATGGTTGTGGTTCCCCAGCCTTCTCCTTCCACTCCCAGGCCTCTGGCAATCAAGAGGTACCTCTGCCCAGGGGCTCCTAAACCACCAGACTCGCAGGGCACGAGAAAGGGGACCCCTCCCCGGGAGGCTTGGGAGCTGGTTTCCCCACTTGAATTTGTCTTCTGATTTCTTGTTCTTCCTCTTCTCCCCACTGTTTCCCAAATACGTCCTCTGCATGCATGGTCTTTAGTCTCACAAGCGCCTCTCAAAAGTAAGCCATCTTTGTCTCCGTCTTTTCCTCTTCCCCTCTAGTATTGGATTGTCTGTAGTGCTCAGCTCAGCTCAGCCCCCCTCCCTCCACCCCTGCCAGTTCTGCCCATATGTCCTGCTTGGTCCCTTTCCCAGAAGGGCCGATCCCACTGTGCCCTGCCCCCATCCCTTGGCAGTCTGGCTTGGAAGTCACTGAGGGTCCACTCCCACCGCACCTAACGTCAGAGAACAGAGCCTGACGACCCCCCCTCCCCCACCAGCCCTCGTGTCTGCTTGCTTCTCAAACACCATCACTAGTGGGAATGTGTTTCCCTTCGAGCGTGGTGCTTCCTAAAAGCAGAGTCCTGCAGGGGGTAGGTAGTTCCTTTCCTGTGGGTATGGTGCCTCCGGTCAGTCATACCGTTGTTCTTTGTGGCCCCTTGATGAGTAAGTCTGGCTTCTGGCAGAAGTGACGAGAGACTGATGGGAGGGACCCGAGACAGAGGGTCAGTGATGGCACTACCGAGACCTCCCGGCATCTGCCCAGTTTGTCTTTCCCTCCACCCGTGAGAGCTGCTTGGCCAGGGCACCCCTCACTACTTCCTTGCTTGTACCACCCTGGAATTCATTCATGGTTTGCTTAGAGCCTTGGGTTTCGATCAAAGAGGGTGTAGTGCCAGCGTCTGGAGGTTGATGACTGTGCAGGACCCACCAGGCTCTGGATATATGATTGCAGGAGAGAGAGATGCCAGGCTCTGTCTACCCAGGGTCCAAGGAGTGAGTAAATGGTGAACAATTGGTACTAAGACAATAGTGCCCAGGAAATCAATTGTGGGGGAGCAGTGCAGTTGGAAGAAGCCGCGGGAAGACTTACAACAGTGTCTGCAGGCGTCTTCGGGGAGGAAGGCACATCACTGTTCGTTCCTGATGGAAGAACGCGAAGCCCCACACCCATGCCTGCCCATTGTGCCCTTCAGGCTCCAAGTGCTCTCAGGACTTGAAGTGGCTTTTGCCAGTGGAGGACAGCCTGGAGTGAGGAAGCCAGCAGGAGGCCTCTCGGTGTGTAGGAGGCTGGGCAGGTTCAGGCAGGCCCAGTATCTGGGGACAGGGCTTGTATAAGACTTTGGGTCACTGTGCCAGAGTGCTCGCCCCTCTGCCTTAGTTGAAATGTGTGCCAGAGGGCGTGAGGCTCATCCGGAAGAAGGAGGATCTGGCTGGATGTGGGCATCAGGTTATCCCTTCTCTCCATGTCTTCTCCGAGTCTTTAGTCTTTCCAGTCCTAAGCTGAAGTGTACAGCTCTTACTCATTCGGTGAGCAGCACAAAGCTTGCTGACCGCTGAGCTGGGGACTACCATGTCGTGCGAGTGCACAGGGCAGCAGCTATGCTCAACCCGGAATGTGCGTTTGCAAGACCCACTGGCTGCAGAGGGTTCAGTGCAGGTCCAGCTGTTGGGCTGCCAGGAAGTGCTGCTGGGGCAAGGCCAAAAGCCTTTAACACTGCTTCCCTGGGGAGCACCCTCTCAAGGTGGCCAGATATAGTCCTGCAGAGGTTCTGTGAGCTGGAGCTGTTTTTGCTACAGACATAGCTAGGTCTCCCGTGACCACCTCCTGCAAAGAGGCCACCCTGTGTGTTTTCAAGCAGGCTGCAAGGTGCCTCCTTCACACAGGGGTCAGGGGATCAGAGACAGGGAAATCATTAAGGCTTCACCTTCCCTATCATTGTCTCAGTGGTTGAGGCTGATTTCTTGCTTCTGCTCAGAACCCCCAGGGCTGACTTTCACTCCCAGAAACCCCTGTTTGGGCCACAATTGAGCTGCACTTGGTAGTGATTGCCTGTGGCCACCAGAGGGAGCCAGGGCATGCTTTCCTGCCCCTGCCAGCTCAAGAGCACGGCTCAGCCTTTGCAGGCCTGCCAAGCAGATAGGGCCACTCCATCCTCGGCTTCTGCCTTGCAGCTTAGCTCTCTGTTGATGTTTGGCAATGCCCGGTGCTGTGCCACTGGTGCCACTGTGACCTTTCACCTTTTTGTTTGTTTGTCTGTCTGAATTCTAATTTTTTATGGTTTTCTTTTCAGTATGACAAACTTAATCTGATCAAAGTAAGACGTTGTTTTTGTTTTGTTTTTTTGTTTTTTGCCCTTCTTCCCAACTTATGCTTAATGTAGAGCTCCTGGTCCCATTCTCCCCTTGCCCCCCTTCCAGACTTCTTTGAGCCTTTGCTGTGGGAGATAGATGCTTTTGGATGCAAGGGCAGGAAACTGTTGTAAGGTAGTTTGGGTATGTTTCCAGGAGCCTTGCATCCTATATAGTCCTTGCCTGTCTGGTTTCTTGTAGGAAAGTCCAAAGAAACACAGGACAGGTCCTCCAAGTCCTCCACATCCGGCTCTAACCCTGTCCCCAACAGCTGTCTTTGTGCTCTCACGTCCTTCCCCTTTGACCATCCGCTATAAACTCTCAGAGCCTGGCCTCCCGACTTCTGTGCCGCCTTGTGCCTACAATGGTAGGCAGTCTCTCTGTCCTGCCTGTTTGGGCCCCTGCCACCGTCCTGGGCCTTGTTAAGCCTCTCTGAGGTCTTCCCTTACAGGAGGTCCCTTCAGCACTCAGACCAGGAATGCTAAGCCGTAAGGATGTAATTCTTCCCCAGGAGGCAGGTCAAAGGTCAGGAACTCCTTCCTGCTGGACAGTCTTGAGGGTTAATGTGGATGTCCCTGTAGATGTTAATATACGAGTCCCTGAGGCACCCTCAGTGCTGGCTAGAAGACACTGTAGAGCTCCCATCAGGGGCAGAGCCTGCAAAGCCCTTGCTTTAGAGGGCGCCTTCCTCATTTCTTTCAGTTCTTAGACATCCTTCCTTGCTCTCACTTTATAACAAATATTAGACATAAAGGTATCACAGAGCTAGGTAGAGATGGGGCTAATGTTTCTAACTGGAGCTCTTGGGACCTTGAAACTGTTTCAAGCAGTTTCTTAAGGAACCGACATCTTGATAATGCGTAGGAAGAGAGCCACTTCTGTCTGCATGGGCCGGAGGGCAGGCTCCATGTTTGAGGACCACAGAGGGTTCTGGTCCCACCACCCCCTTTCCTCTTTGGGTTGTATACAAAAGTGACAAGGGATGAAGTGGTTAGGTGCAGCTGAGAGATGTTCCTCATCTGTGAAGCAGGTGACAAGCTTGGGTCGGGGCTAGCGCATCACAGGATACCTGTATAGTTTGGGTGATTGCTGCAAGAGTGTACTCGCTGTCATTATGAGGGGCTTTTAACCAACATCTACACCCTCCATCATTTCTTGTGGTCTTAGAGTCAGTTGTCATTGTGAACATTCAAAAAGTCTATAGAAGCGCAGGCCCTGTTAGATACAACTTTTTTGCTCCATCCACCCTCCTCCAGGCATGTAGAGCCTTGGTTGAATGATAGGGAGGCCAAGTCCGGAATTCCTTCCTACAAGGTAGCAATTCCTACTCTGTGATGAAACAGTCTTGGATGTGTGGGTTCGCCCTTCAGCTTCTGGATTGGAGGAGGGGGTGGCTCTATGGTAAAAGATTGTGCCTTCTAGGTTAGACCACAGTGACAGCCTTTTGAGGAATGACCCCACAGAGAGCCCCTAGCAGAGGGGGACTGAGTGTCTGCCCTGCTGCCCTGGCAGACTGGCCAGTGAAAGCTGTGTGAGGGGGAAGCATATTCATGCCTGGGCCACTTCTACTGCCTGCCTCCTACCACCAAAGTACAGGGTCAAGGTGTCTGCCAGACTTAGGGTCAAAAGGAAGAACTTGGTGAGGGAAGATCACATGATCATCTGGTCATTGTTGTGGTCACAGCCCTTCCCAACCTGGTTCACACAGTCACCTCTATCCTGTCCTGTCAATCTCTCTCTCTCTCTCTCTCTCTCTCTCTCTCTCTCTCTCTCTCTCACACACACACACACACACACACACACACACACACTACACAGCATACCAGCTGACACAGTGACTGCCCAGTTCTGGATTTATGCTAAAAAACACTCCAGGCTGCTGACTGTGCACAGGCTCCATCCTCTGGTCTCACCTCGAGGCTTTGACCTGTTGGTGAGGTTTCTTACATCCACACAGAATGTTCACAAGCAGAGGCTGGAAACAGGCACAGCAGGCTCCAGCCATTCCCCTTCTTTCATTGTTAAGTTGCAGATCCCCTGGGGAGGTCAGAGCGAGAATTCCTCGACTCTAGGGCTGGGACAAAATGAGGCTTTGTGAACACCGAGTTGTCACAGCATGGGTTGGGAGAAGCCTTTCGAGACAACACGATTCTTCTCTCTCCCCTGCCGAACCCCAGCCCATCCCTCTGCTGTTAGCTGTGAGGAGGTCAGCCAGTTGTTGGGATAGGAAGAATGTACTCACCTGCCAGCTAGGAGCACTGTGTGACTTTATGCTGCCTCTTCCGTCATCACCGAGATACCCCACCCTGCCTTTGCCAGGGATGACCCGGAGCAGAAGGCTGGGCTCCATCTATACTTTGCTTCTAGTCAAAACCCACTCAGGAACGAGGCTTTGGATGCCTACCACACATCCCGCACCCCCATCAGCAGAACCTGGCGATGGATGGGGCTCTGACTCCCTTCTGGTCGAGCGCTAGCTAGTGCTGCCACTGCCTGCATCTCCAACTGCCCCAGCTGTGGTGGGGCTTCCAGCATGGACTGCTCCCTGGGCCTCCTTTCTGGATCTGTCTTGCGAAAGGAGGACCCTCCTGAGCATCGACGCGGGAAGCATTGGGCTGCATTTGGATTCCTTCTCCTTGGCCCCCCCACTGCTGTCTGTGTTACCTTTACCCCAGGGGGAAGGAAGACTCTGGCTGTTCCCAGTATCTCTTCCCTAACTAATTTCATTCTTCTTTTTATTTTCTTTTCAGAAAAGCCAGAGTTGGTACAATGTAAGTATTTCTGTTTCTCTTCTTGTTGGGTTATAGTAAAATGGGGGGCGGGGCAGAGGTGGGCAGATGGAGGTAACATTGTCAAGTTCTCTGAGTTTTTGCCCTTGTCAACCTTTTCTCACCCCAAAATAGATAGAGTAGTTCCCATCTATAGCAGGATAGATAAGTCTTGGGGAGGAGGGTTTGATTTGGGGAGGCAAAGAAATGACCCGCCTCGTTGCTTTCAGCGCAGCCGTGGGAGAGTGACTGTTTCAAGGCCAGAAAGAATTCCGGGGTCAGGGAGCCAGGAGGCCAAAGTTGGCATCCACTAACCTCCTGCACCCCAGCTCACCTCCTTCTGTACCCACTTCTGCTCCAGTGGGAGCTGAGGCTTGGAAAAGCTATCGTGATGGTGGGATGACAGGGTGGGAGGGAGCAGAGGAAGGGCTTGAGGAGAATCATGTGTTCAGTATGGGGCTGTGGGACGAAATCATCCCTCTGGGCCATGCGTGTGTTCATGTACAGCATGGTAGTAAGTTAAGTAGTTCCCTAAAGTTAGCCACGTGTCAGCTAGCACTCTGGCATCCCACAAGCTGCCCTGGGTCTGCCTATCCCACCAGCTTTTTATTGCCCCACCAACCACAGCCCCACTGAGCACCCCAAATGGCCCGTGTTGATGTGGGGAAGTTGAGGATGGAGATGACAGCGGGTGGAAGAAAAGCTGAACTCTGCCTCCCCCCACTCCCCCGCCTGTTCCTTCTCCCTGACTCACCAAGGGTCTTCTGGCCTCTGGCCTCCTCAGACTGATGGCAGCTCCTATCTTGGTGGGAGGAGCTCTCTCTGTGTGGGAGCTGTCATGGACCAGCTGTCGCAAATACCCCAGCCTCCTCCCTAATAATCTCCTTTTGAGAGGCATTGCATAAATTAGTGTCACCTAAGGGATACAGAAAACACATGACCACAGTGCTATTGGGCAATTAAAGCATCCGGATTTGGACATGCAAATCCCATCTTGGTTGCAACTTTTGCTCCGATTGCTCCCTTTCTCCTCGCGTGGCTTTCAGTGCAGCTGCTGCTGCTTGCCTTCCTTTCCCGTTCCTTTTATGGCTCTCCCCAACACCCACCATTCTTTTCTCCCCTCTTCATGCTCTTCTCTGGTCTCTGCTCTCCAGTCACCTGGCTGCCTTTCTGTTTCTTCCCGACGGCTACATGTTTTAAGTCACCCTACCCCTCCACTTCTTCTATCTCCCCGTCCTCCCTCAGCCTGATTCTGAAGCTGTGACATCCGAGCACTCAGTGTAAAGACAGGTTGTGGGAACCTTGGTAAGTCTTCCAGGAGATCACCAACACATACATTCCTTCCTGCCTTCTCTGGGCTGCTGCCTGCTGGGCACAGAAAGCAGAAGGGATTGAAAGTGGAGGAGGAAACAGAAATGGCAGGTGACCATCAGGACCCCAGAAACAGGGTTTCCATTGCCCTAGCTGCGGGTACTAAGAGGTGTGCATGGGAATCGCACAGTCTGTGACCTCTGCTTTCCCTTCTTCCCATATTTCCTGTACAAGAGTAGCTCCTAAAGAGGTTGCTCAGTGCCTGCAGTAGCAGAGAGGCAGGTTGGATATGGAACCCAGACAGGCTAGTTGGATGAGATCCTCTTACCCTTACTGACAAGACAGATGCCCCGATTCTGTTTTCCAGAGCCACTTAATAGTGTGGTTAGCCTGTCTGCTTGACACTGCAGAAGTTTCCCTTGGGTTCTCTCTGACCCCGTGAAGACATTTACCCTGGACATTGGCACGGTTGCTTTGGCTAGAACGAGACTCTGCAACCTGCGTTCCGAGAGCCCCGCGTTGGGTAGGGTTTTGTAGTACTCGCTGGGCCCTGGCTGGCTAAGTACCACCTTCTCTCATATACTGTGCTCAGATGCACCACCAGGGGAACATCAGTTGACCCGTCCTTCAGCATTGCCCCCCCCCCCCCCATAGTCTCTGGGAGGCTCTCAGTCAACCCTTTTTGTTATGAGCCGCTTTGCATTAGACCTACCTTTCACCTTTGTTGCTCCCTGCTAGCGGGCTGGTGGAGTCTGACCTTCAGAGAGGATCCTGGTGTCCTGTTCCTGTGGCTGTAGATGGTGCTTTTTCTCTTTCTCGGAGCTAGAGTCAGCTCACCAACTGCCTTACCTCAAGTTGTATCCCTGGCACTAGGAGTCCTTTAGATGTAAGCTTTATAGTCTCTTACCCTGGGGGCAGGCTAGAGTCAGGGCTCTACAGAGTGTTGACTACTATAGGAGTCCCCCTGAGACCTGTTCAAGGGGCCTGGGTGTAATTTAAGAGGAAGCCATTCTACCATCACCACTCCCAGTCTGTAGAAGAGAAAAGCCATTAACTCATTGTCCCAGGGCTAGCCAAAGGGAAGCTGTCAACAAAATAACAGACCTGACCTGAAGGGTGAATCATAAGAAGGGAAGTGGCTAGACCCCAGTGACATGGGGAGAAGTCTGGGGAGGGCAGAATGTCAGGGTCAGGGTGGTGTATGAAGACTGTCTGTTGCCGCTGCCCTGCTCGTCTTGCCCTTTCCCACTACGACTGACCAGCTCGTTTTAGTCAGCAAGTCTTCCAGCCCGGGAGTCCAAGGGTGCAGTCCTGGTGGTCAGGAGCTTAAGGGGTCAGGTGGCAGGGCTTTGAAACTGTGATCAGAAATAAGGCTGGTCAGATTGAAGCCCGAGGGATGACATACGCCTATTAAATACAGTCCTTTCTAGTCCCAGTAGGCATGGGTCTTGCTGAGCTCCAGGTGGGCAGATAAACCCTCCTGCCTTATGCCTCATTCCTTGGGGGTTAGTGTTTCCATAGCAACTTAGGGACAAAGCCTAGAATAGGGCAGTTGCTAGAGACAGCACCCACATTGTCTAACACTGTCCTCTGTTAGGGAAGCTGGCTTTAAGGAAGGGAAGGGGGACTGGTGCCAATCCTGGGAATGACACAGCAAGTCTCGCTGGCGTCGGTTCGAGAACCATAGGACAAGCTTTGTAGGAGTGGATGAAGGTATTGGCGGTGGCAGAGATGACATGCCCGGTGCCTAGTATTTCCTTCAAGGACTGTCCTTCCTCTTCGTCCATCTGTCTCCCACCTAGGATTTTTACCCATAACTTTGAAGAATCTTCCTGGCTGCTTCCCTCATGATAGTTAACCCCATCCTTCACTCCCCGGTGGTGGTATGGCCTCTCCAGATGAGGCACACCCCCCATCCTTCCCTTTCTCCACCCTTCTCCATTGCACCTGGGCCCACCCGGTGTTTAGTCACCTCCTTGTCCCACCTGCATCTGGCTTCTGCCTACCGGATTTGTCTGAAGCACCAGGATTTCCTTTGTGGCTCTTCACTGGTTTCTTCCTAGGTGAGGTTAATGCTGAACCAAAATCTATTTTTTTAAACTTGGGCTCTCTCACCCCCTGCTTCCTGCTGAGTCTGGGCCGAGAAAGGGTACCAGTTGGTCCCAGCACCCAGTGTTTGCCGTAGAGTTAATGTTTAGCTAGGAGCCAATTCCCGCTCCTAGAGTTCTGGCCCTGTCCTGCCAAGCCCGTGGTGAGGGGGTGGAGACCAGGGCTGAGGCAGACTGAGAGTCACCTCAGTCTACAGCAATATGTCTCTGGGTGCTGTCTCTGTCTTGTCCAAATAGTCACCATCTTGGCTGTCCCGTGTTTGTGGCCTAGGTACCAGAGTTTCCAGGGACTTTCTGTTAAGTTCCCACAGCCTTCCGGAATGGTCTGTACTGCCTGTGTCTTGGGTGTGGCATGGATCTGAAGGGAAGTGTTGCGACCACCCTGGAAAACAGAATTGCTGCATTCACCCTTCACAAAATCTGAGGACCGCTGACACATAGGGCAGAGAGAACTTGATCTTAGGATGGAGTCAGGGCAGGGACTATGCTTCAAGAAGTCACGCTTATGATCTAGAGATGTGTGTGTGTGTGTGTGTGTGTGTGTGTGTGTGTGTGTGTGTGTGAGATAAGATGCCAATAAAGCGATAGGGAATGCATTCATGTCATAGATATTTTTTACACAATATATGAAATACTAAGTACTAGGGAAGATTGAACTGAAGGGTGTCTCATTCCTAGGGCAGATGGTTTCTAATGAAGTGGGGTTTACCTTAGGTTGGATGAAGGCAGGTGTCCTTCAAGATGGAAAGGGGAGCGAGTTAGAAGATGCCTCGGGCAAGGATTCTTTCCCCTTTCTTTTCCTTAACAGTGGCTGTCATGTTCCTCTTAGCTGGACTCTTCGGGTCTGAGACCCAAGAATCTGTGTTCTTTGGCATCACTGGCGTAATTTTTAAACATACTAAAGTTTCAGCATAGGAAATTACTAGGTTTATAAGAAGAAGGAACATTACCCATGATGCAGCAGTCCAAGACCTTTCTGATAGGGTAGGCTAGCTGGGTGGAACAGAGCTGCCTTGACTATTTTGAGGATCTTGTGGGAGTCCACACCCTCCCAGTCCCCACACTGTCTATTCCCCCTCTCTACCTCTCTGCCGCACTCAGTGATTCTCAACCTTCCTAATGCTGTAACTCTTTAATGCAGCTCCTCATGCTGAGGTGACCCCCAAGTGTAAAGTTATTTTCTTTGCTTCTTTATAAATGTAGTTGTGGTGCTTGCTGTCCTGAGCCGTCATGTAAATATCCCATCGTCCACAGCCCCTGTGAAAGGGTCATTCGATCCCCAAAGGGGGCGTGGCCCACAGGTTGAGACCCACTGGCATAGCACCCTTTGTGTCCCCACGGCCTGACTGCCATCTCTTTCTTTGACTTGTCTCCCACCTTCTCACCAGGGTTCAGAAGGTCTGCTCTTACAGTTTGCCCTCAAGGTCTGAGCAGCTTGCCTGTGACTCTGCTTGGCTTTGATCCTATGCCTCCATGGGGCCTAGTCCTCGGGAGAGCACCTCAGGCTGACCTCCTCTTCTCCAGACTATCTGCCCGACTTCTCTGTGACCAGCACATTTGGAGAGTCCCATGTTGGCTGCTGTTGCATCAGAGAAGTTGCCGAATAAACGGGTTCCTTAGAGGAGACCTGTCTCTTAAGAAACCCCTGCTCTATTCAGTCTCAAATTTCAGATGTCCCCAGAGCTCTGATGCCCTGTGCGCCTCCCCTCCTCTTCCTCCACTGAGAGCCCTGGCCAGCAACTTTCCATTGCAGGAAACATCTGCTGGTTGAGGCCAGGCTAGGCCCGGGGTTACTGTAGGACATTGGCCAGGCCCATCACCCAGATCCTGTAACTTGAAGCATGTGCGGGGCTCTGGCCTTGCCCGCCCACCAGCCCTGCCTCCCTCCCTCAGGCCCCAGTGACTCTTAACAAAGAAGTCATTTGCTGGCCAGCTGAAAGGAGTGCCTTCTGGAGGCCAAAGGGGTGTGTGCAGGGGTGGGGATGAGCGCAGGCCCTGTGCTGCAGCTAAGTGGTGGCCGGGTCTGCCTGGGTGAGAGCTGTGAGTCACGGCAGTCCTGGTCTGATGGGGGATAGACACATTGACTGAGCAGGCCAGTCTGTGGGGCATATCTGGACTAAGGATCTGTGCCACCACGAGCCTCCCTGGAGCTCCCGAAGAGTCACTTGTGAGTCACCCTGAGTGTGAGTAGCTAGTGGAAATAGACCTCTGGACCGAGCTGTGGGTCACCCTGCTCTGCGGAGTTTGTCTGTTCACGTGGGGCTGCCCTTCCGCAACTCTCGGCCCGTGTTGCGTACCTGCTGTGTCTATGTCTTCGCGCCTCGCCTGGACTCCTGAGTGGTTGCACTGACCGGGGAGTATCGCCTGACCACACCCCGTCTGGACTGCCCCCGGACTGAAGATGGGAAGGATAAAGCGGAGTCCAGCTGTGGGACACTGGCCAGCCAGCCCGCTCTGAGACCCATGCTTCTTATAGCCTCTCATCTGTGAGAGTTTGCACGGGGAGCACGGGCTCTAAGAGAGGATTGTCTAGACCCTCTGTGCGGAAGCCCGAGATTACCTGGGTTCAGTCCAGGCTAGACTCACTGCTTTCATTCTGAGGGAACCTGAGGATCAGCACAAGGACCTGGGGACCCTTGCCTGGGCCATTTGTTGGGGGTGATGGAATCTCTGACAGAGTCTGGGGTCCTCTGGAGCCTCCTGCGGGAACGGGATAGTCGGTCTCTGCTGTGGTACTTGAAGAGACTCGCCGACACACCTGTTGGTGCAGAATGCTACTGCTGGCATGGATCTGAGAAAATCCCGGCCGTGAGTGTGTCACCCGAATTCCCCGTGTCCCTGTGACTGTTCTGTGCACTCTTTCATGCCACACTTGGCCCTGCTGAGAGTCTCAGACTTGACAACCCTTGAGCCAGCATTCTTTGGCCATTTTATAGAGGTGAGCCCTGCTTCACCTTTGAAAGAGAATGTTTTACGAGTACATAGAGAGTGTGTGTAGGGGGCTAGGTTCCCCAGCATCAAAGGGACATGGGATTGAAAGCCAAGTGTTCCCATCCAATGTGTCTTTGTACTTTAGTCCAGAGAGGCTGGCCTACCATCTACACCAACAGACAGAATAAAGACAGCTCGGTACAGATGTGGAGGAAGGAGATCTTCCTTGTTCCTTCCCACTGCTATCAGCACGAACGATCGATGTCCTTTCCTGCTTGCTTTTGGGAGATTGTACATAGATTTCTGTGCCTCTATCTCTGTGGGTTCTGGAATTCTCTCACTGGCTATGATAGAATTCCAGGGAAGAGGACACTATGAATGAAATATTGGAACTAGGAGGGCTCTCGGCATCAGGTTACTGGATGCCTGATACCCAGTTTCCCCTGAAGTGGATTGGGGATCTCCTTGTAGGAACTTTTTAAAGACTCTCCCAGGGGTGAGAAAAGCTAGAGGGAACCCCAAAGCGGGCAAGTCTCTCCTCCCATGAGTGTGCTGTTGCGGCAAACCCCGTGGTTTTCTTTTTAGCTGTTGGATAAGACTCCCGTTCCATTCCTGCTGGGTCTTTACATTCCTCAGCAAGCTGCTTTGCCTCTGTCTCATTTCCCATAAGTATGAAGTGGGGTGATGAAATTTACCCTTTGGTGAGGTGCGGTGATGTGGTGATGTATGTGGTGGCTGTGTGCTCGTCGTGAGGCTGTCTAGAAGGGGGACTGTGAGGACTATATGAGCGGTCAGCCTGTTAAGCAAGGGTTTCCTGTGTGCGGATTCTGTTCTAAAAGGCAGGATCTTTGCATAGTACCTAGTGATTCTTGAAGGACTGCTATATCTGAGGTCTTTGTTTGAGGGTTTTTTTTTTTTTTTTTTTTTTTTTTTTTTTTTTTTTCCTTGCTTGCTTGTTTGTTTGATTGGTTTTTGAGACAGGATTTCCTCTGTGTAGCCTTGACTGTTCTGGAACTCACTTGGACCAGACTGGCCTTGCACTCAGAGATCTCCCTCCCTGACTCTTGAGTACCAGGATTAAAGGCCCGTGCTACCATCATCACCCGCACCCGGCCTGACGTCTTTCCTAGCTGTAGGATTCGTGAAATAGATAAGCTTCTAGATGACTTCCTCTAGTGCCTGGAAACCTGATGGAAGATTGACATTATATGATGATAGTGTGGTATACTTTGGGGAAGATAACTGGGCCTCTCATAATACACGTGTAAGTCCGTCAAGAACAAAAGCTTGAAATTCAAATTACAGACAGATTAATGAGAAATTCCTCTTCCACACTCTTCTCTGGTTTCTCTCTCTTGGAACATTGGCCCAAACTGAATGCACACATTTTTCTCTCTCTCTAACTCCCTCCACGTTCCTCTTCCTCTAGTCCGAGGGTCAGGCTATGGCGGATGCGGGCAGCGCTGGGTTCAGATGCAATCACTCCCAGACTGTTTCCATGCGGGTCACTTAGCTTCATAGAAAGTTGAAGCATGAAGAGTTGAAGGGTCCGGCCCCTAGCAGTAGTGTGCCTGTGGATTCCCCGAGAAGTGGGTGAGAGGGTGAGAGGCCAGGAAGCACATGTCACTGCCAGCAGGACAATCTGTCCCTCAGGCATGCGTCTCTGGCAGAGGGTCAGCAGCCTAGTGTGCGTTAAGTAGGTCAGCACATGGCCCGGTGGAATGCAGATGTGCCTCTGTCCTCATGTGTGACTCACCCTAGGTTGTAATCTTTGCATCACCCTTGAGTGGCCTTCATCTACGGGCACCCATCTTTTCTATTACCATTTATTTTATTTTAAAGCTCTTAAGACTGTACGCATCGAAAGGACAGAATTCCTAACTACTAGCTGGTGGGATTTCCAAGGAAGATCTGTTAAGTTAGTCTATGGCAATGAGCAGGCCCAAGATGCATAGCAGGTTTTAGGATCTGAGTCTCTATACTGGGCAAGTGCCTGGTCCTCCCCTGGCTTCTATGGCTTATGGAGGATGGACTTCTGAGTCTTGGGTCTGGCACTGTATAGCATTGGGTACCCTTGGGCATGAGGCTTTTGTCTTGCCTCAGTTTCTCATTGTACATTGGCTTGGCAGGTTGTTTGGTGAGATAGGGAGGAAAGTGCCCTGCCTGTGTGCCAGATGCTCTTTTTTACAGCTCGTGCTTCCCTTTTTTTTTTCTTTCTATTACTGGCTTTTTAAAAAGTTTTTTAGTGCCATGTTCTATGATTTGAAGAAAAACCCCGTCTTTAGCTCACTGTGTTAGTCACAACAAACTTCAAGAGGTCCACAGTGTCCAACCCTCTTCAAAGTCCTGCTAAGAGCTAGCATAGCCCTTGGGTCCTTTCCACTGCCAAGGTAGAACTGGCAGGAAGCAGGGCAGTGATAATTGGCGTGTTAGGTCCTGGGAAGACACTCGAAGGTTTCCTTTCTTGCTTACCCTTCTTGGGATACACGTGGACCCCATATTTTTTCACTGACCAATGCTGTGTGAAGGGATTTTCAGGACCAGGCTCTCTATGCTATTTCTCCGTGCCAAGGCTCCTGTCTTAACCTGGCCTCTGAGGGACTATGGGAAGAGAGCTTCCTCTCTCTGCCTTTCTACCTACCACACAAGCATCCCCCTTCTCCACCCCATCACCCATCTCTAATCCTGCAGCGTGTGGACGCATCATGCTAACCTTGGCTGTTGTTACGCAGGTATTAAGCCCCACTTACAAGCAGAGAAATGAAGACTTCAGAAAGCTCTTTAAGCAACTTCCAGACACGGAGCGCCTCATTGTTGGTGAGCTAGTATCCTGGGAGGGGGCCAACCAGGAAGTCTGGGAGTTCCAGAGAGAGAGAGTACTCGGGCTGCCTCTGACCAGAGCCTGAGAGCCAACACAAGCAGGAAGGTCGCGCTGGCACCAGGCGACATCTTAAGTCCCATGTCTTAGGATCAAGCACCATGCCTGTGGCATGCATCCTTGAGAGCCCACCCAGGGGGGATTCAGAGGCATACTGAACCTCTGCAAGTGGCGGCTCCATACAACCAGTTGCTGCCATGGTAGTAAGGGGGATGGAACTTACTGAACACCACTGGACTTTTTAAAATGGTTTTAAATTCGGCCCATCGTTGGCTCACGCATTATCCGGCCACCAGGCAATGACTTGCTCACCTGGTCAGCAGCAGACGGCTGGGCTCCCCCGGTGCTGGAGGGATGGGTGGCCCGCTCACTGTACACTGGTTTGCTGGCAGTGTCCCCCGCTTCTGAGCTCCCGTCTCCTGCTTCGTACACAGATTACTCTTGTGCACTCCAAAGAGACATTCTTCTTCAGGGCCGCCTCTACCTCTCAGAAAACTGGGTCTGCTTCTACAGCAACATCTTCCGCTGGGAAACTTTGGTAAAGACCTGATACCTGGGAAGGTGGGGGACGGTGGGCAATGCAGGCATTGTTTCCCAGTCACAGTACACATAGAGCTTACCCAGCATGCACAGGCTTCTCTCTGCTTGGTTCCCAGAGGTGCAAAAAGAAAAAAAAAAAAAAAAAAGACCCAGACTTGTCCCTTTGGGCATTGTCTTGGCTGTGACTGAGAAGGCTGCTTTCATTTTCTTTATTTACTGGCTTTGTGTTCTTTCCAAGCCTTTATAGTGTACCCCCCAACTCCCCAGACAGGGTTTCTCTGTGTATCCTTGCTTGGCTTTGAACTCAGAAACCTGTCTGCCTCTGCCTCCTGAGTGCTGGAACCAAAGGTGTGCATCCCCACTCCTAGCTTTGCCTTTATATAAACCCACACCTGTGTACTGGAGGATACCCAATTCTGAGTCCCAGTCCTGGCATCTCTTCTGCCATGAGTTTCCTTCCCTTCTCTTGGGTATGGAGGACAATATAAAAAAAAAAATTTTTCCTTTGTCAAATGCAGAGAGCTATCTGGTATGAGTTATGGCAGAGGGGGGCACAGTGAAGTGGGAAGGACATTGGTTGAAGGACTCAGAAGAACTGACTTGCACACTTTCGGGGTTCTGCACTTCATTAACTGCGATTTTAGTGTTTTTTTTTTTAATTTGCCTTTATTTCTTCATCTTTTAAAAATAAGATAAAGGTAACTTAGATGTAAGTAGCAATAATGGCAGGTCCTCTGTCTGTGTATCAGACTGTAGAATCTAGGGACCCATGGCTAGAGAGAAAATCCAGTTGTTCCTTAGTACAAGGCCTCTGTGGCATAAGGTCTCTAAATTGGACCCTTCCAGGGCCAGAGGTATGAGAACTGGGATTTGATTTGATTTGGCAACTACTAGCGTCACATGGACACCCTTTGCCTGTTGTACTAATGCCCTCTTTTGCTTGCTGCTCTGTCACCATGGGGATGCCAGCTAACAGTCCGTTTGAAAGATATCTGCTCCATGACTAAAGAGAAAACAGCTCGCCTCATTCCCAATGCCATCCAAGTCTGTACTGATTCAGAAAAGGTGGGTGTTGTCGAGTTATGACCTTTTGACTGATGCGCCCCGTCCTATATCCTACTCCCCGTCTTTTGACTGATGCTCCCCGTCCTATATCCTACTCCCCGTCTTTTGACTGATGCACCCCGTCCTATATCCTACTCCCCGTCTTTTGACTGATGCGCCCCGTCCTATATCCTACTCCCCGTCTTTTGACTGATGCACCACGTCCTATATCCTACTCCCCATCTTTTGACTGATGCACCCTGTCCTATATCCTACTCCCCGTCTTTTGACTGATGCGCCCTGTCCTATATCCTACTCCCTGTCTCCACACCTCTATATTCTCACCCTTAAGTCACCTTAATCTTCAGACTACTGGGTTTGAAGAGGCAGGCCGTAAGCACTGGGTGAGCAGGGTGGTTGAAGGCTGAGCAAGGGGTTAGGGTAGCATGTTAGAACTTGCAACTTTGAGCTAGAATACCAATTTTGAGTCCTGTGATTCTAGACTATGTTGGATAGCCTTCATGTGCAAATGTAGATTTAGTTGAAGGTTGATGGGTCAGTAGGTTTGTCTCCTCCTGTTTATGCTGTACCCCAGCTCACCTCTTGCCAGTTAGAGTTGGTGAGCAGAGGACATTTATATTTTGGGGAACACAGTTTAGAACTGGAATAAAAAACACAGAAGGAAGTCTGGGTAAAATATAGGAGGGCTTGGTTATAGCGGGGACTTGGAGATTTCAGGTCCCCAGTGTGCTGACGGTGTTAGATAACTGACAGTCAGTAGCATTTGAGATTGAGTATTTTGAATAAAAGAAAGGACCGTGTTTCCATCCACCATGTTAGAAGTTTTCACAGATGTTTCTCTGCATCTTCTCCTCCAATCTAGCACTTTTTTACTTCATTTGGGGCCCGAGATAGGACATACATGATGATGTTCCGGCTCTGGCAGAATGCTCTCCTTGAAAAGGTAAGTACCAAAAGGGAAGTAGACAGAAAGCCCTTCTGTTTGTAAGGAGATGGATGATGGATGGGTGGGTGGGTGGATGGATGGTTTAACGGAAGAACAGATAGATGGATAGAAAGAAAGAAAGAAAGAAAGAAAGAAAGAAAGAAAGATAGATAGAGAGGATTGACTCTGTCCTGCAACTTGGGGAGGTCATGCACCCAGAGTGTTCTTCTCACTTGGATATTACCCCGGTTGGGAAGCATGCTTTTATTGTGGTATGGCAGGCATTTAAGGAGCCCATGTCTCTGGAAATCTGCTAGGAATCTTGACCTGAGTCCTGAACAGAGCCAACCTTTTTCATGAGAATGCCCCAGCACTGTCAGGAGTAAGGCACCCGTGACTTCCGGCACTTCTTCCTTTCTTTCTTTCTTTCTTTCTTTCTTTCTTTCTTTCTTTCTTTCTTTTTTAAATGTTTATTTATTTATTATGTATACAATATTCTGTCTGTGTGTATGCCTGCAGGCCAGGAGACCCCATTACAGATGGTTGTGAGCCACCATGTGGTTGCTGGGAATTGAACTCATGACCTTTGGAAGAGCAGGCAATGCTCTTAACCTCTGAGCCATCTCTCCAGCCCCACTTCTTCCTTTCTTTTCGGTCATCGGTTGCATCTGTTTTTCTTACGCTCCTACTGTCTTTTCCACACACCTGGCACTGCCACTGTCTTCCCTTCTTTCCTCTCTATGACACAGTAGCTGTTTCCACCCATGATCTTCGTTTCTTTGACACGCCTTTGCTTCTCTCTGGAAATTGTATCCTACGAAAAGTTTTTCTCAGGACAGTGTTTTAAAAGAGGACAGATAGACGCCTCCTCAATAAGCAAACACTGGAAACTAGACGTAGGCTTGTACACAAATTGATTGCCCTTTAGAATGAAGAAGGAAATACTCAGGTTGTCAGGAGAGGCTGGGTTAATGACCTTTAATTTCTGGGGTGTTGCAAGACTGAGTCAGGGCACCTGTGGGCGTTCAGAGATAACTGTGGCTTTAGGTTAACATGGGTGCGGGAGGTAGGGTGCTTCTCATCTTCAGAAGGCCACTTAATCCCATTCTGCAAAGCTCCATTGAAGGGGCAGGCAAGGGAGGCCCACATCCTTGATTTTGTTAAGAGTCTACATTTTCAGGCAGGAGATTGGCATCTGACTGGGATGTCTGAGGTGGATGGCATTGTCATAGAGATGTCCTCTCTATCAGTTAGGAAGAGAGGCCTCTGTCTTCTTTCCCTACAAGAGGAAGAGAGCTTCTGTGCAGAATGTCAGGACCTGGGGGAGGGAGGGTCAGCATCAATGCTCTTATCTCTTGCAGCCCCTATGCCCCAAGGAGCTCTGGCATTTCGTCCACCAGTGCTATGGGAACGAGCTGGGTCTCACCAGTGACGATGAGGACTATGTGCCTCCAGACGATGACTTCAACACCATGGGGTGAGTGTGGCCTTGGGTGAGTGTCCCAAAGGATATGGGGATCAGAATGGAAATGAGGCCATCATTTGGAAAATGGTGTCTGAGTGTCACCCTACAGGAAACAGTGGAGGGAACCAGTTCTTCAGGCAGAGGGAATAGTAACAGGGCTATGGGGCTACAGAAGTGGTCAGAGATAGAGACAAGCCAGAAAGCCAAGGGAGCAGGGTCTAGTAAGTAGCCTTTTGGCCAACGTGGCATTCGGTATTAGGCAGAAAGTTATGGGCAGGTTTATAATAGACAGTTGATAAGTTCTGAGTTAACATCTAAACAGGACCAGTATGGCTTCTGTGCTGGAAATATATCCAAGTGGAGAACACGGGGACCTGTTCAAAGGTAGCTAGATGATAACTTAGAGGCTCCATAGTGGTGTGGTTTGGACCAGGAAGGTTGCAGTGGCTCCTGCAGTAATTAGATCCTTAATGTATTTTGAAGGATTCACTGATGGCTCAGAAACAAATTTCAGGTTTGGTTAAAATTTTGCTGGTTTAACTCTTTGGTGGAAAGGAGTAGTTCCAAACAGAGATGGGGAATATTGTTAACAGAGGAGTTTTGAGATTAGAAGGTTGGTTTTAAGCAAACGGGGATGCCTGGTAGCCAAGAGGAGAGATCAAATAAACTTCTGAGGATGGTTGTTGGGCTTCGTGGGGAAGTTTGGGTCAGGGCTATAAAACTGAGAGTCTCTCATGAGTAACCATGAGGTTGGTTAGCTCAGTCCTCCAAGTGATTGAACATAAAAGGACGTTCAAGGATTAGGCTTGGAAGCACTCAGCAAGAGCGGGGAGCAGAGAAAGGCACTCTTGAAGTGCCTCTGCTTCACTTGGAATGTACAATAAAGAGAAATTTGTTGTTTACGATCTATGATTTGGGCAGTACTACTGAGGGAATACCGTATTCAGAATCCAGTCTTCATAGCTGATGTTTGAGAAAGGAAGTATGTGCTCAGAGCCCAGATGTTAGATTCTGTTGGGCTGGGATCCAACAGAAAAGAGTAGACATACACCTAAGGAGGGTGTCTAGTAAGGGTTTCAGATAGAAGCTTCAGGGTAAGGAGAGGTGGAATAAGAATAGAATGAGACTTTGGGAGAGCTTTCTGGTTACCGTGAAATCCCATGCAAAGAAAAGAAGCAGGAAAGCCCGTAGGTTCAGATTGACGGACAGGCCTACATTCTTAGACTGGCTGGTAGTCTCCTCCACGGAAACTAACCTGAGTTCACGGAGTGGGGTGGGGTGTCTTTTCCAGCTACTGTGAAGAGATCCCTGTAGAAGAGAATGAAGTGAATGACAGCTCATCCAAAAGCAGCATAGAGACCAAGCCTGATGCCAGCCCGCAGCTGCCCAAGAAGTCCATCACCAACAGCACGCTGACCTCTACGGGAAGCAGTGAAGCCCCTGTCTCGGTATGGGAGATAAACTCTGGGCAAATCCCTGCCCTGATTAGTGGCCATTGTCTCCTAGTTTAAACCCCACACGAGCTTCTAACCGGGAGCTGGGAAGTAGGAAGGGGTTCCACGTGGTCACCGTGACTAAGGGAACATCCTAGAATTTATTAGCTTTCAGTGCTAGGGTCTATGCCAAAGGCCGAGAGCTAGAATCTCTATACCTTGTTTATAGGATTAGGTTTGCATATGAGAAGTTGCAAAGTATTCCAGCTCTTCTCAGCGTATACCTCTTGGTGCACTACTCTAGGCGGCCTCTCTCTTTGGATACCTTTCTTAGGTCGTCCCCACACCCCTTCCTTGATCCAAAGTCAAAGTCACACGTGAATATAGAACAATGGGACACATATTGCTTATTTATCTGTCGTGAATGTTTGTTGAGTTCCTTTGCAGTTTAGTTTCCTACTATGCTGAGGTTTATGGAAGCTATATAAATGTCTGTGAGGGCCTTTCTCCACAGGAACACTGTTGCAGAGAAGCCAGAACTTTGCGGAAGGGTTAGGGCATATGTCAGCAAGAAGGGACTGGCTTCCTTGGGAAAGGGCTCTCAGGAAAGGGAACCTTTTATTCCACGTTTGGTGGCCAGGCTAACCAGCCTTAGAACAGAAACGCCATTGATGCCTAACCTTTGTTTCGTCTTTCTGAGATTAGATTTAGAATACAGCTGATTCCCTTCTGGTGCCAATGAGAGAATGCTGCCCCAGACTTTCCTGGGAGGCCTCCTGAGATCCTGAGGAGAAGGGTGGCGTTTACAGGCATGCTGGCATTGGCTACAAGCAGGCTGCCATTGTAGCAGCATGGTAGGAATATAGCTCCAGAAAGGGCCTAGGGTACGGAGTACCACTCGTAGACCAGTGTGCCATCTAAACGGCATGGCAAGGGCAGTGAGTTCCCTGTCCTGTGCTGCTCAGCACAGTCCCAGCACCTGACCCCAGCCTGCTCCTGCACAGCTGTGCTGTGATTGGGATGACTTCTAAAGGCTGGGTTGTTCGCTGGTCTCCTCTTGAAGAGTTGATTCACAGAGAGGGACCCTAGTGGGTGGATGATTCTTGGTCTCCATTGCAGTTTGATGGCTTGCCGCTGGAGGAAGAGGTAATGGAGGGTGATGGGTCCCTGGAGAAGGAGCTTGCCATCGACAACATCATAGGAGAGAAGATCGAGATCATTGCACCTGTGACCTCCCCTTCGCTGGACTTCAACGACAATGAGGATATCCCGACCGAGCTCAGTGATTCTTCAGACACCCATGATGAAGGTGAGCCTCTGAACACATGTCTAGGGCACCCTGTCGCCTCTCCATTGTGTAGCCTGAAAGGGACTGGCTTGGCCCTTGAGTCAGAATCTAGGTTCTGGATCTCAGAGCACACTCCAGACCAGGGACAGCTGGGGTCCCAGAGAAAGGAAGTGATTCAGGCAAAAGCAGTCGAGCCCATGAGCCCAGCCACCCTTCCCTTGGTGGTAGCACCCACGTTAGCCACAGAGATATCAATGCCGTTGGGATGGCACCACAGCTTCCTGTCCTCCTCGGTCGCTGCTTCATCCTCCCTTCTGTGCAGGAGAGGTGCAGGCCTTCTATGAGGACCTGAGTGGAAGACAGTATGTGAACGAGGTCTTCAACTTCAGCGTGGACAAACTCTACGACCTGCTCTTCACCACCTCACCCTTCCTCCGGGACTTCATGGAGCAGCGGCGCTTCTCTGGTCTGACCCGTGGACTGGCCCCTCCCTGACTGTCCATCCTTTTCTCCACTGTATATCCTCCTCCTCCTCTTCCTTCCTGCCTACCTCTTCCCATATATCATTCTTTCCCCAATGTCACTCTCCTCTCTCTGGCCTTCCATGATGCCACAGCTCCTCTAGGGTGTTCTGGCCCGCTCTGTTACTGGTATTACAGGTTTTCATATGCCCACTGTCCACCAGACTCCAGAGATTTCCCAGGGAGCAGGCCCTGCCAGCTCTTTGTCCCCACAGGGCTCTGTGTCTACTCCAGGACATCTGTTCTGCTGTTTGGGAGGCACCCGCTGTACTCAGTGTGTTGCAATGGCTCATTCAGTCCTCAGCTGTGCCATGTGTGGGCCTTGGAGTTCCTGGCACTAGGGTGTTAGGAATCTGAACCCCAGGTTGTTATTTATCTGCCTGTAAAAAGGAGCCTAGAAGGGCTGAGAGAGGATTCATATCTCATACCCTGGGGGCTCTTTCTTTTCTTCTCACTCTCTCACTTAGTTTTTCCCACAGCACAGATGTAACATTGCCTAGCAGAGATGCCAATCATCCCTAACTCAACAAAAGCTCTAGGCAACAGGGTGCCCTCTGCAAGGAGAGGCACCTTCAGGCCATTGGGTGGTCACACTCCCTGGGGATCTGATGCCCTTGCCACAGTAACTCCAATGTGGCCTGCACCCCCGCAGGTGGCCCCAAGACCTCCTGCCCCAGCTTGGAACAATCAGCATTCTGGAGCTGTCTGTAGAATTTCGGCAGTGCCACAATGGGCCTCTTTCTGCTCCAACTCCACCTCCTCTTCACCACCTCCCCCAGCTTTCAAACTCCTATTGGCTTCCGGGGAGGGGGTGACTGTGAGCATGGGGCAAGGAGTTCATTGGTGGGGAGATTCGGATGAGCGGAGTTGTGCTGTCCCCATCCCCCTCATCCCAGGGCTCTTCTCTCCGCTCAGATATCATCTTCCATCCGTGGAAAAAGGAGGAGAATGGAAACCAGAGCCGCGTGATCCTCTACACGATCACCCTCACTAACCCCCTGGCTCCCAAAACCGCCACTGTCAGGGAGACACAGGTGAGCAGGGGGAGGAAAGAACTCAGTGAGAGAGTGTCTGAAAGGACTGTCACACCCTGAAGGATGAAAGCTGGACTGGGGAGATGCCTCTGGAGGTGGGCTTGGTTTAGTCCAGAGGCAGCAGCGTCCCACGAGCTCAGATGCTGCCAAGTCAAAGTGATGTCCAGGGGCAGGGGCGTTGGGAAAGGTGCTATTCCTGTTTGGTCAATGGTGCTTCCCTCCCCACAGACCATGTACAAAGGGAGTCAGGAGAGTGAATGCTACGTGATAGACGCTGAAGTCCTCACCCATGATGTGCCATACCACGATTACTTCTACACCATCAACCGCTACACCCTCACCCGCGTGGCCCGGAACAAGAGTCGACTCAGGTGTGCCATGTGAAGGCTTGGGTGGGTAGAGGTGGGGGAAGGCATCCAAGCTGGGCAGTGCCCATTTGCTCTCTGGGGAGAAGGGGAGCTAGAGTACTCACACTTCTGTGTCCTCCCTGGATCCTTCTGAGACTCAGCGCCTTCCCATCCTGACTTTACTCTTCTCTGCCCTGTATCCCTTGGAGCACTCTGCATCTTCTTTGGAAGATCTTCCCCATGCCTACTGTTCATGATGCATGGCTCCTGTGGGCCTTTTAGGATAACTCAAGGAAATGAGTTAACCTCATTTATCAGAAGAGTAACTTTGTCAAGAATCATGCCCCCGATTCATACTGAAGCTTGCTTCTAGCAATAGGACCCTGTGCCCTATGTGATAGGATTGCCTATTGTTTCCCCTGCTGGCCAATGAGCTTCTAGAAACCTAACCTAATCCTGACTTCACAAAGCCAGTCGGCCTATGCCTCTCACAGTCAGATGAGGTTAGCTCTGGCTACGGTGATTCCCACTCAGAGGAGAAATAGAGGCCGTGACACTGGAAGAAGCATGCAGTCTCATCGTAAAGTCGGCACTCACACCCATCTCAAAGTCATTGTGGTCAATGGCAGCTAGACATTCGCAAGAGGAGCTAGCCTGTTCTCTATGCGGAGAGCCAGTGGTGGGTGGGAGCATAAGAAGACTCCGATCATGGCCATGTTCTCGTTAGACCTGGGGAAACGTAGCACCCCTGGTGAAGCAGAAAACCTGGACAAATGGCTTTGGTGTGTGGAGGGGATTTTGCTGGGGAAGATCTATTGACAGATGCTCATACACCTAAGGGAGAGGCAGCGAGCAAGGCTTTCCACGTGGGAGGGTAGAGTGCGATGCTCCTGCAAGAGCGATGGCAGTGGTATGGGCAGTAGCTGGGGGAGAGAAGACTCAGAAACAGGGCTTGCGTGTAGAGTAGAGGCACTCAAAGTTGTAGATGATGAGAGGCACTAGAATTGATCCTTGGGTTTAAAATGGTTTTGACTCTTATTTCTACACTGGGAGGCTGCGGAGCATGTCCCGCCACCCCCATTCCCTACGTACACATGTACTGCAAGGCAGCAGCAGTGGTATAGTCACATGCTGCTAACCTGTGATGGCCTGTGCTTTGGAGCCTGTTTTCTCAATACAACTGACTGATCCTTGTTTCTAATGGCCTGCTCCTCAGGGTTTCCACAGAGCTCCGCTATCGAAAACAGCCCTGGGGCTTTGTCAAAACTTTCATTGAGAAGAACTTCTGGAGCGGATTGGAGGACTACTTCCGCCATCTAGGTGGGTACCACAGTCCTCACATCATCTAGCCTGAACCTTCCCTTGCTGGCCTGGGCAGCTGCTCGCTGCCATTTGGGGGAATGGAAAGCCTGGAAACTTAGGAGGTCTCTGAGACCATAAATTGGTTTCACAGGGCCCCTACTTCTGTTCCTGAAATGAGCATCAAGTTTGGTATGTTTGGCGACGTGTATCCTCTAGGAGACTGCATCTGTAGCTTTGAGATCGTTCAGGAGGGGCTGTGATTTTTGCCCACCCTCGAATGAACCTCAGATGTAGTGACACTGGCATTGAGTCATCTGATTAGAAGAAAGATCTGAGGGCATCTTTTTAGGAAATGTGTGATAAGTCATAAATTACATACTTGGAGATGTGAAAGTTGCGAACGTGGTCCTCTAAGCAGGATTAGGCCTGAAAATCTTTGGCATGGGCATCTTTGAGGGTAAGCCTCCCTCTGGGCCAGCTTCCCAGGGTACGGTCACAAAAATAGGGTACAGGGTACAGATACAATAGTACAGAGCTGCGTCTGGTGGACATTATGTTGGGTTGAAGCTATAGGTGTCTGACGTGGCTCTTTTGTGTCTGACAGAGTCTGAGCTAACCAAAACAGAGAGTACCTACCTGGCTGAGATGCACAGACAGTCACCCAAGGAGAAGGCCAATAAGTCTTCAGCGGTACGGAGGAGGAAGCGCCCCCATGCCCACCTGCGGGTACCTCACCTGGAAGAGGTGATGAGCCCTGTCACCACACCCACTGATGAAGATGTGGGCCACAGGATCAAGCACGTGGCAGGTATGGTTGTTCCAGGTGGGAATAATTGTGTAGCTTGGCACTGTGGGATGGAGCTGCATGCCTCTGTTGTGACACATATATGCACACCCGGTTTGCACCATGAGTAGAGTTTGTCACCTGTCCCTCATAGTCCCACTGAGTGACTTCCTGCCTGTCCGGACTGTAGACTCTTCCTCTTTTTCTTCTTCCCATCCCGTCTTTCAATTCTCGTGTATATTCTCTGTCGTGGAAACCTGGGCCTCTCCAAGGGACCTGGAGACTCTGAGTTCAGTGTTTCACAGACTGTGCTTTGCACACACTTGTGAGTTTATCAGAGCTGTGAGGACTGGAGAAGACACCATTTCCCATGCGTTCCTTAGTCCAGCCTCAACTAGAGCACACCATTGTTATGTGCTTTAGATATACCGTTTGTGATTCATGTCCCATTTAAGTAGACCGATTGAGAAAAGTTACATGTCTCACCCTGACATCATGCAGCTGGTTATAAGCTGGGAGCCCACTGCCGCTAGCCTGTCTTCATCAGCCAATCATGTCTCTGTATTCTAGTTCCATAGCTATGTTTTCACGCTTGCTCAGTGATTATCTGCCCTAAGTCTTGACTTTGCGGACTTCACACACACACACACACACACACACACACACACACACACACACACACACCGTGTTGTAGGGCTCAAGATGTGAGCTCAAGGTCACTGAAGGCATGTTGCACAGTTCCCTGATGATCTTGCTTGACCAGCACCCTGTCAGCAGTGCGTGGACTTGTGGATTGTGAAAATGACGGCCTGTTTATTCTCCCCCAGGTTCCACGCAGACGCGGCATATCCCCGAGGACACTCCCAATGGTTTTCACCTACAAAGTGTGTCCAAGCTGCTGCTGGTTATCAGCTGTGTGTAAGAGACTCCAGGTTCTTCTCCCTCCCTGGCTGCCACGTTTTCCTTCTCCGGCCTGGTGCAGGAGAATCATCCTCATCTCTCAAGCATTTGCTTCCCCTGACTTTTACCCCTCTCTTCTTTGTTCCTTGGTCTTCCAGTCCTCACTGGATCAGTTGCTTGGTCATTTGTCCTTTTCTGTTCCTTTGCATTTTCTCAGCACTTTTGCGTGTTAGCCTTCTAGGAGGAAAAAGGTGTATGCTCTGTCTGTGCCAAGTGGGCGAGTGAAGCAGAATGCTCAGAATCCCTCCTCAAGATAAATGCTGACTGACATAGGGATGCTTCAGGGCATCTTAAGAGTCCATTAATTTATAAGAGGTTCTCTTGAGTGTCTGCTCTGTGCCCAGCATGAGAGCCATACCCAGAGACCTCACTGGCAGGGTAGCCAGACAAAATCAATGGTCCCAGTCCAGGGAGACCAGATGCTTGTTTCAGTGTAGATGACTTATAATTAGCATGGCATTATTAAACCACAGGTTCGATACCTTGGACAGTTAAGTTGATCTAGAGAGATGAGAAGCCAAAAGAAATGAAGACATAAGCTAGGAGACCACAACTGTCCGGTGTGGGAGTCCTTGTCGTCAGTGCTCAGGACATGCTTAATTTGAATGAAAGGAACTTGGAGCGGCTAAGGACAGGTTTTCTGCTTGGCTCAGCCTGCAGCTTGCATCCCATTGCTGTGAACCGGGGATGCGCCATGGGAGTGTGGATGGCACAGGCGGATGGGAGGCATGGCAAATACGCACGTTCGTGCTCTACCTTCTGTATGTTAGGCACCAGACCTCCTTTGGGTCAGAGACCCTTGCTCCTGTGGCCCTTCTGTACCTGTCCCTGAAGCAGCCTCAGAGAGATGTGAGGGGCATCTTTACTCTTGGGACACACTGGGGGGAGAGATGTGAGGGGATGTCCTTACTCTCAGGACACTCTGGGGGAGACTCACAAACAGCACAGTCAGACCAGCACTGTCGCAATATGGTGAACAGGTTGACAAAAGGCTGAAGGAAGTGTGGGTGCTTAGAGTGATCTGCATCAGAGGGGCCACCAACCTGAAAGGGCTGAGTGGGTATGACAGGTCACAGATGGGCTTAGCAAGGAAGATCAGCTGCCTACAGTGACTACAGGTGCTCGTGCGAACAGAAACTTGGAGTTTAATTGAAAGTCGTCAGAAAAGACACGCCTCTACATGAGATAGAAAAAAAGAGCTGAACCCTGTCTCCTCCTACTTTATATTCCTCTCTTTGCCCAGTCATATCACTTCCTGTCTGTCTGTACAGACCTCTAGACCTCTATGGTTAACTAACTTGTGGCTAGCTCTGCCCTCTGATCTTCAGGCAAGCTTTATTTGTTAGAGCACAAACAAGATATCAGCACCCACACCAAAGTCCAAAAATGTCTGAGTTGCCATCAGTTATCTGGTTGAGGAGGCCAGACCTTTGCTGATGTGGGCTTGGCCCTGAGAAGGCAAAGTAAAGCTATGGATATAAATGAGACCATCCATGTGCAGAGTATGACAATGGGGCCAGGGATAACAGGGTACTGTGACTCCTTACAGGGGAAAGGCCTGGAGAACATAAGAAAAGTTCTTGCTAGTCCTGAAGACATAGCATGAAATTGGATGTCGGGCCAGGCGGTGGTGGCGCACGCCTTTAATCCCAGCACTCGGGAGGCAGAGGCAGGCAGATCTCTGTGAGTTCGAGACCAGCCTGGTCTATAAGAGCTAGTTCCGGGACAGGCTCCAAAGCTGTAGAGAAACCCTGTCTTGAAAAACAAAACAAAAAAAAAAACAAAAAAAAAAAAAAAAAGAAAGAAAGAAAAAGAAATTGGATGTCAGTTCTTCAGATTATAGTTTAAGAAACAGTGTTATGCCAAGCAGTGGTGGTGCATGCCTTTAATCCCAGCATTTGGGAGGCAGAGGCAGGCAGATCTCTGTGAGTTTGAGGCCAGCCTGGTCTACAAGAGCTAGTTCCAGGACAGGTCCCAAAACTACAGAGAAAAAGAAACCATGATATATGGCTACAGTAGGGATGGAGACACTATAAAACTCACCCTTCAAACACCGGTGTCATGTGACTCACGTCACTGTTAAAACCATGGAGGTGCTGGATACTGGTGAGAAAGAGACTATACCCTCGCTTAGTTCTATGTTTATGCTCCTCTACACCTCAGTTTTACTTAGAGGAGGCCCTCTCGAGTGGGCCAACCCCACAGGCATCAGCTAACTCTGAGCCTTTGTAAGTTTAGGTTAGTCGGGCCTTCTGACTCAACGCCACGCACTCCAGGCTGGGCTTCTAATAGCCTGCATTTAGAACACACTGACACAGCGCAGCTTACCCGTGTCTAGCAGGCACTTGCCACCACCCACCCTCCGTGTGGTGACTCAACTTCCCACCTCTTTGTCTCTGTTTGGCACACTTGGGAGTCTTCCCTCAGACAGCACATGGCCTTTACTTAAACCGTCCAGGATCATATACACACACCCAAGTGTGCGGAGGTGTGTGGCACTTGCTGAGGGGGTGGGCACTTAGGTGATTCAGCATGTGCTGCTGACACAGTTAGATGACAGTCTTGACACTCAACTGGATGTTCTCACAGAGAGCTTAGGCTAGCCCTAGGGAACTGTAGCTGACGGAAGAGGGACACTTCTCTCCGGTGGGGCTGGAGAAACAAATCAGACGTCGGGCAGTACTTTTACACACTGGCTTTGTGTTCTGATAGAGGCACAGTCTAAGTTATGTTTGATTTCTTTCCTTTGTTGGCCCCTTTTCCACTTATGATTTGCCTTTGCAATTTGGCCATCTTCTCTCCTTCCTGTGTGTTCCCATCCTTTCCAAATCCTTTCACGTTAAGAACCAGCTGTTAGGGTGGGCCTCCTGCTAAAGCTTCTGTTCCTTTCCATCCGTAGAACAACCCCAGCAGGTTAGGTATGACGTCCCTCGTGAGAAAACAGTTTCAGGATAGATGAGAAACGTATGGAAGGTCAAACCGATTTGTAAGTAACACACTCAGATTCACCCCAGTTCTGCCTGTTTCCAGGTCTTCTCCACATCCCTGACTTTTTCTCTATCCCGTGAGCTTCTGTCACAGAATGGCCTAGTCAGCCACTGAGGTGGAGTGGAGGGAATTTCCCCAGCCTCCTCGCTGGCATCCTTGTCATCCTTGGTCTGATTTGCTTTTGGTCTCCCGCCAGATAGTTGGTATAGGTACAGGGAGAAGACACTGTAGCCGCAGGGAGGTACCACTACCCATAAGTGCCACCCTTTGGGTATGGCATGACTTTGGGTTGATAGAAAATCTCTTGATTTAGCACCCATGGGAAACTGAGAGTCTGCAGCTGCTTTCTCTCCATCCTTCCTTGTCTGGCCGCCTTGTCCGTTGTGTCTTTGCTTCTTGTGTTATTTTTTTTCCCCTTGCTGTCTGGCTCCATTGAAGTGCATTTCCTCCTTCCCCACACTCCTGTTTCTAACCTCTACCTCCTCCTCATTTTTCTTCCTTGCACCCATTAGGATCTGTTTCAGGTACCAGCTCTACAATTGTTCCCTTTGCCTCATTGCTTTCCCCTCCACCTCTGTCTTTTTCCCTCAGGCACCCAGATTCAGGTCCTCCCCTTCAGTGCCTTCAATACCTTTGCTTATGCCCCTCTCCATGGCTCTCCCACTGTCTCTGACCCAGTAGACTTGGTTGCTTCTCTTTCTCTGACCTGTGCCCTTCCAGCTTCCTCACCCCTTTCTCTGGAATGCTTGGGTTGGCCCAGCAAGCAAACACATGGTCTCATGGGTAGGCGGGGAGATCGCTGGCCCACATCTTATCTCATTGCTCTTGCTTTCCCCTGTATCTCCTTCCCAGTCTGGTGCTGCTGGTCATCCTTAACATGATGCTCTTTTACAAGCTGTGGATGCTGGAATACACCACACAGACCCTCACTGCCTGGCAGGGTCTCAGGCTCCAAGAAAGGTAACATTGGCCTCACCTCTTTGTCCCCACCTCAACCCTACCCATTGTCTGGGACTGCTCCATTGCCTGTGCTCAAGGACACCCCTTTGAGATGAGCCGATAGGCCAGTTCTACAAATCCGTCCTTAGAGTTTCAGCTTAAGTTTCACAGCAGTGGGGCACTGACTGAGCAGAAGAGAGAGCACTCTGAGGTGGACTCTCTGTCCTTTGGGAGCAGAGACTAGCCCACTGAACATAGCTCCAGCTGTTGGGTACCACCCCTTCTTATACTCCACAGGCTACCCCAGTCACAGACAGAATGGGCCCAGCTGTTAGAATCCCAACAAAAGTATCATGATACCGAGCTCCAGAAGTGGAGGGAGATCATCAAATCCTCAGTGATGCTCCTGGACCAGGTGAGATGCTCACAGTCCCTCATCTTTAGGAGACCGGGCTCCTTTCCCTCTGTACTGAGAAATGTCACCATGTTCCCTCACCACCATTCTGATGTCCTCTTCCTCTTATGCTGGTCTGTTTCTTGATTTGCTTTTAAAGCTATTCCTCAATGAAGTACTAGAAACACAAGCATCAATAATAAAATAAGAGATAGATTAATAGCCAGAGGGATGTAGGACAGATTATATATATATATATATATATATATATATATATATATAATATATGTATATATGTATAATATATATGTATATATATCTGGCCAGGAGAAAAATAAGCATCTTGAGGATCCAAGTTGCAGGTCAAGAGAGTGGTAGTTTAAGGTGACTCCTTACAGTGACTGGATACTTGTCACCAATAACCAAACCCAAGGAATTTCCAGTGCTGGGGACCAGATGACCCCTTTCTGCCTTAGGCTGAGGCTCCTGAGAGCCACCTGTGTTTGGACTTGGTTTTCCTTGGTTCTGTGACATGGGCAGGGATGGGCCACAGGTGGGTGTTGCAGGTGGGTGTTGTAGCTGCCCCTTTGTGGACACTCACTGAGAGCACTGTCTTACAGATGAAGGACTCACTCATCAACCTTCAGAATGGCATCAGGTCCCGAGACTACACATCTGAAAGCGACGAGAAGAGGAACCGCTATCATTGACAAGGCAGGACCAGGGGTGACTGCAAGAGGCCTGTGCAATACATGTACATAGACCCTATAAATATATATATATAAATATATATATACAGAATATAAATATATATTATATACAGATTTTAAAAAATGAGATAATGCCTATGTACCAGGGAGAAGGAGCGGGAACTCCCGCCCCCTGTGCCGGCCAGAGCAGCGTTTTCCCTCCACCATGGAGGGACCGAGGAGGGCAGGGACCACCTCTCAGCACCAACCTCCCCTGACCCTCCTCCCCTGACCCTCCTCTTCCCATCTTCTGTTCCTCACCCCTTCCCTTGCTGGCCATTCTTGGCCCTTAGAAGGGAAATGTGGCTGAGCCAAAGTTAATGCCTGTGAAGACCCTTGGGTCTTCAAAGACGTTCCAAGAGGGCATTGCTTACGGTGCTTCATTCCCTAACCCTCTTTTGATTTGTCTCTAGAGTAAAAGAGAACCTGTTCTTCCCCCCACCCAGTGCTTCCCCAGGCCTTCTCTTGGGAACAGGAAGAATGGAGAGGGCAGGAGCCCCTTCCAAAGTCCCCCAGGAGACCATTGGTTAGAACCACTCTGAAAGCCAGGTGGCGAGGACTGTGAAGAGGCTGCATTCGTGGGCCTGGGCTGTGGGGCTGCAGGCTCCTCAGCTCTGGCATCTGAAGGGAATTCTCCTCAGCCACCCCCACACCTTCTTCTGTCCTGAGTAGGTTGTGGAACCCACAAGGGCTGGGACTTTCTAACTCTCCCACTCCCTTTCTCTCTGCTCTTCTCCCAGGCTGGCTCTGGAGAAGTGTCACTTTTTAGTGCCTAAAGTCCTATTGTTTCTCTGTGCCCTAAGAGCACATTGTTTCTTAGCCAGGGTGGAGCCTTTTTGACCTTGTTTAAAAAAACAAAACAAAACAAAAAACAAAAACCTCTTTTAGTGGTTATATAAACCAGTCAGGTCTGTGGCTCTAATTCTTTCCCTTTGAGCTGTGAGTTTGATGTCCAGGGTAAGTCAGGGTGTCCTAGTCCCTCCAGGCTTTAGGAGACAGAGAACATTCTAGAAACATGGATTACAGGGCTTGCCCAGAATCTCATATGAGTAGTGAGCACAGTAGCCAAGCCACTGAGAGGGCTAACAGCATCCTTAACTCTTGGTAAAGAACCAGTGTCAGCAATAGAGGCAGTTGTGCGGGGAAAATGTGTGAGCCACCAGAGGGAGGATTTCGCACAGATGTGTATGTTTGGTTAGGGAGAGGCCACCTCAGTTCTGTTTCTCAGGTTTAGGAGTGGCAGCTCTGATGGGTATGTGTGTGCAAATCTCTTTATAATCTCTGGCCCCAATGAGCTATAAAGTCACCAAGAAATAAAAGGAAGATGCTACGTTAGGAACTTGAGCCAGTCAGGGCCAGGCCTTCTTAATGTTAGCCCATCAGGACTCAGGCTTTTACATGATCTCAAGGGGCCCTTCTGGGCAGATTCATCATCCTCCCTTAGAGTGTCTCCTGCTCTTCCATCAGATGACTCAAGGACCCCTGCCAGCCCCAGGCAGAGCTCATGTTGGTCCATAGTAGTAAATAAATACTTCCAGGTTCTCTGGCCACTTCTCAAGTCCAGAGGAAGACAGAACCACAGATTTCTCAGAGCATCAGTACAAAGGGAGCAAGACGGTGCTGGTTATCGACGCCAAAGAGAAAGTTACCTTCTCCTCTTAGCATTGTCAGAGCATTCCATCTGGGCAGTGAAGGAAAGAAAGGCATTGATATTGCAGTGTCCTGGAGAAACAGGCCTTGGTGTTTCTTGAAGGGCAGAATCAGAAAATAGGATGTAACCCTGGATCAACCTCTGATGACGGGAGAAGAAGGCTCAGCGCCTAGCTAGCATCACTAGCGCTCTTCCGGGAAAGCAGGGGTGAAGAAATGCATTCAGTGTTCCTTTAGAGTAGGGTTTTGAGGGCTTTGCTGGTGATGATCTAGACCCACGAGCCCTGAGACAAAGAATGGTCCCATTTGAAATGGCTAGGCAGTTTCCTCTTGGAATAGCCAGAAGCTAAAAGTATTCCCAGAAACTTTTTTAAAACAAAATTGGAAACTCCAAATTTATTGCGTTTGTCGTTATTTACTTATTCAGATGAATTCAAAGGTATTCACTGGGGGTGGTGAGGAGCCAAGTAAAGTAACAGAAGCCCTGACTACAGAGAGCTGCTTTTCTTTGGCCCCCAGGATCATTTAGAGGAGGAAAACCCCTGATTTGTCCTAGAGAGCCTTCTGTTTTCTGATGGACCCAGATGATATATGTGTGAGGAATAACCCCCAGGATACTAGCTTTCCTATGAGTTGCTTTTGTCTTAGCTTGGGCTTTTAAACCAGGAAGAAACCAACAACTCAGTTTGTTCCCAAACACAACCCCCTCCCTACCCTTAGTCAATACTTTGTGAGAGAGAAGGGAACTCACCCTTTAGCAACCAAAGCAAGTGCCCTGGATGATAGCCCAGCAAATAGCTAGCTGTCTGCAGGAGGTCATGGAAGCTGGCATGCCTTGGGTGCCTTCTTCCAGCTGGCAGGTTTTCTCTGTTTGTCCGTTGTAGATATGTATTGATCTTTCTGTATGGATTTGTAGGCAAGACAGTCAAGTGCTTTCGCTGGACCAAGAGTGGCAAGATCTGGGCTTCAGTCTTGACTGTGCTGTTGGAAAGTTGTGCGGCCTTGGTTAAGTCCCCATCACCGAGCTTCACGATCCACTTGTCACAGAAGAGGATCAGCAAATGACCTCTAATGTGGGGTCTAAGTTTGACCTTGACTCCGAGATTAGACCAGAGACTAGTGAGATGTGGAGTTCCCAATTCTGAAAGCTGTCCCGCCAGGGCAGGTGAGCTTCGCTCTTGACTAAGGAGGTCTAGGGGGTCCCAGTGGCAGGGATAGCCTTGCTCAGCGTTAACCCAGGAGAACGTTCCTTCCTCCTTTGGCCTAGGTTTAGTTTGGAATTGGTTTATGCTTAGAGGAGGATAATGGCAAGAAGTGTATCATTTTGGACCGAGTCCATCTTCCATCTCCAGGCACTGTGAATCCTCTCTACTGTTCATCCTCCTTCCTCACTGACGGAAGACACAATGGGAAGAAGCCATTCCCAGTTCTAGAACTTGTGTTTTGCTCGGCCAAAACCCTGATGTGGTTTGCATAAATTAGGAAACTTTTGCTAAAATCCTTGGCTTGCCTTTGGGCCCTGGCATCAAGGAGTGGGGAGCACCGGGGAACCTCAAGAAGAATTTGCCACAAGTGGGTTCTCTCCTTGTCCATAGCCCCTCACCTATGCTGGGACTGGCCTACTGTTATCATAGGCGCCATCTATAAGATGAGGTGTTGGGGACATGACTGGCTAGGGGAAGACTCTTTCTGGACAGTTGTGCTCCCAGAAGGGTCCTTTCTGGGCCATACCATCCCGCTTTCTTAGCTCTGCAGGGCAGCCAAAGCCAGCCCTTCTCTCTAGGGCCTAGGAGAAATAGCGCTCTTCTCTCTTCCTCCAGGTGGCAGGGCTGTGGTGGCCCTTCCTACACACCTGGACTCTGCCTGCCCTCTCCAGGACTCTCTCCCTCACCCCAACCCCACCCCTGTCTCTAAGCTATGGGGCAATCATTCCCATTTTCCCTTTGCTGTTCTCTACTCTCGTCCCTCCACCCTCGCCTCACTCCAGCAGGCTGGCCCTACGCCCTTCCATCTCCCAGTCTTCTTCCAGAAGATGCATTTGGGTCTCAGAGGAGTGTTTTCTGGAAGGCCATCTTTCCACATCCCTGCATTCCTGATGTGAATCAGGGATTTGCACTCGGTGTAGAGAGCCTCTTCTCCCACCTCTCTGCCCCACCTCGTTACCTCACTCCTGCTCCAGCCATTGTGATGGGCTCAGCCAGCCACCTGTTCTGATGTGCCGTGCAACAGCTCAGGGGTCTTGTGACTTGGAGGTCCTCAGCAGGCCTGGGAGCCCGGATTGGAGCCTTGGCTGCCGGTGAGATGCACTTACCTGCCAAGATTTGCTGATGCCAGACTATCTCCCCAGCATGTGAATGCTAAATGGACATTGTCATCTCTGCCCTTTGGTCCTCCTTGCTTCTCTCAATACAATAAGACACCTCAGAAGCAAAATGGCGGCCCTTGCTCCAGGCAGGACATCTGGCCGTCTGGGGAGTTGGCCCTGGGCTTCTGTGTTGTGTGCAAAGACTGCACAGTCACTTTTGCCAACAAGAATGTGTGGCACCCCACATTTCCTCACCTTGCACTCTAGGGCCAGACCACTCTCTGCATGGACCAGACCCCCAAACCCATGGTGCTTTTTTTCTCCCCTCACTCAACCTAGACCCTGAGGTGGGGAGAGATGGATATTCCCGACATGGGGTGGAATAGGGTGAGGTAGAGGGAGCAGCACCCAGCACCTGCACTGGACCACAAGTGGGAAAGAACATGGGTTGCTTGCAGTTGAGTTGTCTGGCTGTCTGTATTGGGATCGATAACTGTACTTTGCCTGGCGCTGTGCGCAAGGTCTGAAAACTTCCTGCTAGTCCTTAGAAACATACAAGGCTACCCAGCAAAATCTTAATGTAAAGTAGCTAGAGCCATGGAAGTCCAGTCTGAATTAAAGGAAAAAAGTATTGAATTACAAATAATAAATGGTTGTGTGTGTTTATTGCTTGGTCCATCGGGAGTCCTCATCCCCAGGGTTTATGATGTACCTAGATAGGCTCAACAGCAAGGCATGAAGTCATGTGTTGCCCACATACAAGCCTCCATCTTAGGAAAGGAAACAGCCTGAAATAATGGAATGGCTAGGTTTCTGAATTTTTGTTTTTTACTTAGTAAATGTTTGTTATTATTTTTGACACATTCATACAGGCTTACAAAGTGTATTGCCATCATATCCATCCCCATTGCCCTCTCTTATCTCCCTCCTACCCATTCTTGTTTCCCCTCCTACCTTCATGTATTTTTGTAAGTCACTGAGTTTAATTAGGTTGTTTAGATAAGCACAGGAAGGGGGGCTGCTTGCTGGAGCCAGAGCAACTTGTTAGGGGTTACACCACTGAGGAAAACACCCCTCTCTCCTCAGGAGACCCTCAGAGAGGGGTAGGACCTCATGAGCTCCTATCCCATCTACGCTAGAATGAATGGCCAAGTCCTGTTTAGGCCTTAAACAACTGTTATGTCATCATGATCAATTTCTGTCCTCTGGGTCCTACACTTGTTCTACCCCTTCAGTGCTCCAAGAGCCTTGGAGGAGGAGAGTTTTAACTGTCCTACCTGAGCACACACTCATGTGTCACTCTTAGCCATCAGTGTGGCCGTGAGTCCCATCTATCATTTCAATCGTCAGTGTTTAGGGACAATGTCTTTTATAAAGAAGTGCATGTATGTCACTTCGTATGAGAGCTGGAATTGTACTACAATAATTTAGTCTTTACATATTTTTAAAAGATGGATTTTTAATTCTGTATATATGTTCATGTCTGTGTGTGCTTGTGAATACAGGTGCTTTCAGAGGACCAGAGAGGGTATCTGATCTCTAGGAGCTGGAGTTACAGGGGTTGTGAGCTACCTGACATGGGTACTTGGAAATAAACTGGGGCCCTCCTGAAGAGCCACAAGCACTTTTGACCACTAAGCCATATCTCGAGCCATGTTTTTAGTCTTAACCAACATCATTCTGAGAGCTGTGGTGGAACTGGGTGTGGTGGTGCACTTGAAAGGCGGGTGGATCTCTGAGTTTGAGGCCAGCTTGGTATATAGAGCAAGTTCCAGGACAGCCAGGATTACACAGAGAAACCTTTGCCTCCCCTTAAGCAAAACCCCACAACCGATTTTGCTGGACTGAATCCTCACACTTTCTTGCTATGCTTTTCTCTTTAGGGGCTCTTGCCCCTGTTAGGAAGCTAGGTACTGGAAGACAGCGTTGCCTTGATGCTGCTCCCTAAACGGGAAGCCCCCCGAGTCTTCCCTACATTAGATTTGCCTTGCAGTCGGCATCTCCACACCCGGTTAGGGAATGTGTGATGCCAGACAAGAGTGCACATTTCTCTTGTGCTCTTCTGTCTTTGTGCAGAGGACAGGAAGCCCTGAAAGGCCGGATCCCACATCTAGCATGGTTAGCTCGAGACTTTGGAGTACTTTTCATTTCCTAAGGTTAATCTCTGTGCAGGAAGTAGGGCAGATTGCATGCTAGGTGAGAGGCAGAGTGGGCAGCAGACGCACGTTGTGAGCAGAGCAAACCCGGAGCGTGTGGTCTTCAGAGACACTTTATTGACATGAACAGAGAGTTTACTGGAATTGTGGGCCTATGCACAAGTGTGTACACACACACACACACATACACTTTTACAGACCTAAGATCCTGGGTTCTATTGAGAGCTGAACCTAGCATTCAATACAGGGTGTATTAATGTAGCCAATAGATGATCAGATTGCTGTGCAAGCACACTAAAGTCATATTTAGATACATTTGCAGTGACTGGGTGAATTCCCAGAACTGGGGCTTTCTCATTTACAAAACAGAAATGAGAGGAAGGTAGGTGTGTGTGTGTTTGTGTGTGTGTGTGTGTGTGTGTGTGTGTGTGTGTATACCGCACTTTGTTTCCTGGTGAAACTGGGAAAAGATTGATGATACATTCGAGGTGTATCTAGCTCTTCCCTCTCCCTGCAAAAGTGTCATCCCAAACATTTCCCTGTGGTTTGTGCCCAGTAGATTCACAGATTCTGAAAAAGGCATGCATCACTGTGCTTGGTTCATACTTTTTGACATGCGGTGGTAGTGTGATGTGGAGAGGGTGAGCTACTATTTTTTGTTTGTTTGTTTTGGTGTGTGTGTTTTCTTTTAGCTCTTTTTTTTTTTTTTGAGACAGGATCTCATGTAGCCCAGGTTAGCCTTCCACTATGCCGATATGCAGCTGAACTAGCCTTGAACTTCTGATCCTCCTGCTTCCAAGAGTGCACCACTGGATCTGGCCTCGTGTGTGTGTGTGTGTGTGTGTGTGTGTGTGTGTGTGTGTTCACATTTACGCATGTTCTCATACAGGCCTTAACTTGTGGGCATGCACATGTGGAGGCCAGAAGTCACCCTTGGGTGTCATTCCTCAGGCATTGTCCACCTTGTTGGGTTTTTGGTTTTTGAGACAGGCTCTCACTTGCCTGTTGCTCACCAAGTTGGCCAGGCCAGGTGACCTGGTTAGCGAGGCCCAGAAGAGACCTTCCAGTCTCTTCCTCCCTGGCACAGGGAGCACCAGAGTGTACCATGATGCCTGACAGCACCCAGGTACTCACGACTGTGTGGCAAGCACATCACCTAGTGAGCTCTCTCCTCAGCCCTACTCTTCCTTAACCCCACTGCTGTCTTCTACTAATTCTAGCAGATGTCTAGAGCGACCCCAGACATTCAAAAGAAAGCTCGCATGTACAGTTATTTAAGGGCAGAGAGACCAAAGAACAATGCTATCAAATGGACTGAAAGTGAAGTCTGAGACAGGAGCAAGCACTGGGTATTTCCCCTTGAGGACTGGGGTTTGATTTGAGATCTAGCTGACAGTAAAAGTCATAGGACAAGATGCCTTCTGGACAGCTGAGTTGAGTAGTCAAATTCACAGCTGTTAAGCAGCAAGAAAGGGAAAACCAGACTCAGCCTAGTGTGACCTTCAGTAAATGATTGAGGATCAGTCACAGGAAATACCCAGCACCAAGACAAACAATGGGGTTTCTAAATGATTATAGCCCTTGAGAGCTCTTCTAGCCCTTTGGTAAGCGAGAGCACACCAGACAACACTCCAGCCTGCACACGTCTAGTCTGGGATTCTGAGTTGACGTATGGGAAGAAATGGAGATGGTGATGATTTGAAGTAGGCTGGTGAGTGCCAGACCTTGTAGGTTACCATCATGATCTTCCATAAGGAAGTTCAATTGTGATTCTGGGTAAACCACCATGTAAACAAACTAGACGACAATAGAATGGGATGGACTCCCAAAGCATGCGTCTAGCATCCATCAAGAAGGCAGGAGTAAAGAAGCTGTAGAGTAGGAAGCTTAGAGGACAATGGAGAGAAGAAAGGGCTGGACAAAAGTGAGGGAGGGAAAGACGAGAAGAAGCAGTGATGGTGTAATTGGGAAGCCAAGTGAGGTGGGTGAGTGAGGACTAGGACCCTAGCTCTGAGTACAGGAGGCTAGGTGACCTGATGATTTTGTAAAGCTATTTGATGTCAGAAGACCTCTGTTTCTTCATTGTAACACGGAGCATCAACAGCATTCATACCACTGGAGTGGTTGTGGAGGAGAGAAAAGGATGCTTCGCAAGCCCTCCAGGTGTAAGAAAACAGGTACCGAGGATGAGAAAAATTGCCATTTTAGAGAAGGGAACAGGAAAGAGAAACTGTCTTGTAAGGGACATATGATTGGTGCCATCCAGCTTTGTTATGAATTCTGATATCTAGGTTGGAATTCTGTTTAGGAAGTATTTAAATAAAGAGGAAAAGGCAGTTACACATACCACCTCATCAAGGGTTAGATGCATAATCGTGCAGACAGTAGGATGGAGGGAGTAGCTTGCTACCACCACAAGGTCTGGACCAACCAGCCCATGGCTGGGTAAATGCTGCATTAATTCAAGTGTATTTCTCTAGTTGTAAAGTATGAAAAAGGTGTTTGGTTGTCTCTTTTATTTCAGAAGCATGGGGTGGAAAAGTCGCCGATGAGAAGAAGGGTCTTGAATTTATTGCAAATATTTTCTCTAACAAAATTACTCTTTTCATATAGGATGAGGGTCTTGTTTCAAGTATGCCCCGTGATGGGAGGGGTGAGAATGAGCTTCTCATACAAGCCCCCGTGGGAGTGGAGAATGGTATTTCTTAGAGATCTCCTCAGATCTGAGGGACATTTCTCTTCTGGAATCCCACTTCTGTCATTTTATATCCCATAAGGCCTCCTGTCCTTTCTATCTGTATAGGCTAAAGAATATTGCACTTAGAACAGTCATTAAAATGAGATAATGAGATGCTGACTAAGGTCTTCTCACCTTTTCTATGCTCTCCTGAATGGGACGGGGGGCCCACAAACATCAAATACCAGACATTACAGATCTACAGGTGAGGTATTTAGAAGCTACACACCTATCTTTGCCATTGTGTTCATCTTCCATGTCAGGCTAAGACATTTCTCGTCTGTATAGATATCATCTTCAGGTGCTGTGTCTTCTGAAGGATGCTTTATATTCATGCGAGATTCTGCAGGTCTGTCTCATGCCTTCTGTGTTCTCTTGCCTGGCTTGCAGTTCCTGGAACCTGTGATTGTTAGCCTCTGCTGGGCAAGTGGCATGGCTATAGTCAAGCTGAGTGTCAGGGTCTTCAAAAACATCTTCCGTCTCAGGGAATGTGAGATTAGTAGCACTGAAATCTTTAATCCCCTAAAGCTTCTGTTCATCCCTGTGTGAGTCTCAGCTGCCTCCTGTAAAATGAGGAATAATACTGATCCACAGACACTAAGAAGGGAACAGCTGAGCAATTTCAATCCAGAAAGGACACACATCCATGTTTCCAATATCAGGAGTATGTTGTATCACTTTCAAGGCCTAATGAAATTGCCCTGGATCCTTCCTTGGTCTCTTGGAAGTTCTGGGTTTGCTCCAGGCCTTTGGGATTACGGAGATCTAGCCCTGAAACGCTAAGCTCCAGAAAGCATACCAGTCCCCACAGAAGATGTTTCCAGAAACCTTGGAGGAGCATGCTGCTTTCTGGTGCTCTGAGAAGCAGGCCATGGACTTAAGAAAAACTGATGTCAGTGAATCGAAGTGTATGACATGCTTTGGCTTTAACCCAAACTAATTGGTGCTTCCTTCTGGTGTATATTCATTCTTTTTGTAGCAGTGGAGAACGACCCAATGGCAGACAGTTGGGGCAGAGGAAACACTACTCTCCAGTACTTGTCTAAAGTCATTTGGAGCATAAGGGACAACTTTAGTTGAGTTGGGAGCTGCTTGCTTGAAAGCAAGGACAGAGCGAGGTTTAGTTCATGTAAAGATGTTGGCTCTTCAGTTCATTCAAGATGTGTAGAGTTCCAATAGAGCTTGGAAATCAGATAAAATCTCACAGTTGGGGTGGGTGGTTGATGAATAGAAAGACAGATGCTTGGGATTCTCGGGGCACCTTGCTGATGCTGCTGACATCACTGAACTGGGAATATCCAACTCCCTCAGTGCTCAGATCACCTAGCAACAACAGAAGAACTCACTGAGAAAGTCCAGCTCAGCCCTCCCCAAATCCATTTGTACCAAAGAGGGAATGAGAGAATTGTTATGGCTTTGTTATCATGAGCAAGGGGATTGGGCTGTGCAACATTCTTCAGCTTCTGAAGGGTTTGACGTAATGGAAGGCATTGTGACTTGACCATTAACTTAAAGTACCCAGAGGGCGGGACTGCTATGCCTAGTAGAAAAGACCAAATTGAATGTCACGTCAGTTGTGGATTCCAGACGACGTTTGTATGGCTTGCCATCCACACCCTCCTCACCCTCCCCAAACCCTGTACATCACCTCAAGTCACAGCGCATTATTCCTCCACCGGCACCACGGAGTTCTCTTTGTTCTCTGAAGGAATAGCAAGGTAGTCAGACCTGCAGAGGGCATTGGGGTGGGGGGGTGGGGAGAGGCAGTGCTTTAGTAGTCACTGGTGAACATGTAGGAAACAGGAAGGCACATGACGTAGGGACAAGGCTGTACACAGAATAGCTCTGTATTTCCTTATGGTTGGGCCTCCCAAGACAAATCTACAATTAGCCTCTGAGCAGATATAGCAATGATCCCTCCCATATTCGCATATGAAGACCTCCACCGGCAGTGCGGACATCGCTTAGCATCTTCAGGATACAGACTGAGATTTAGACTAAACTCAATGGTTGTGAATTTGTATTCCACAGCTGCTTTCATTTTCATCTGCCCAGTTACCGGTGACGTTGAGCATCTCCATTTGTTTGCAGGCGATCTTGTTTTACTTCTAAATCTCCTTTTTCTCCTGAAATATTTATTTTTTTATTGATTCATGTTTGGAAAATTTGTCCCAATCTGTTGTTCATAAGTTTTCCTATAGCTTCTTAGCATGAACAATTAAGATTTTCCATATAATGTAGTGAAAATTATCTTTTCCCCCTATCTTTGATTTGAACTTTTGGTATTTTATTGAAGAATTTTCCCTGTAAAACATGATGCTTTAAATATAAATTCTTATTCAACTACAAAGAGGAACATTTTCCGTGTTTACACATATTACTTTTCTGCTCCATTAGGGCAATTTTCAGGTTTTATGTCTACTTTTAAAATTTATTCCTGATTTGTTCTGGCTTATAGAGATATGGTTAATGTTATTAACTTCTCTCTGCTAGTCTCACACTTGGCCTTATCCGCTTTTGGACAATCTTTATAGCTCCTAAGACAAATCCTACTATCGACGTCTTCCAGGTGTACTGCTTTTGCTTTGCACTAACTTGGGTCAGAGGTGGGCAGACTTCTGACCCACAAATATACTTAGTTACCTGTTTAAAGTATTGTGCACAGAAAAACCCAGAAGAATATTAAAACATAAGTCCTGTGTAGCTTTGCAAAATCGAAGATAATCGAGTTGTGCTTTGGATTAAGTATTGTTGCCCCTTTCCCTCCTGTGTGATCTTTAAGATGAATTTATCAGATACTCTGAGAAATCATATGAAGGTTTTTATTGGAATTTCATTGACTTTGAAGATGATTTTGGGCAAGAAATGCCTTGAAGAGTGAGTTTTCATTCTCTAGTCTTTGCTTTTCAGTAAGGTGCTGTCATTTTCTCCTCAGAGGTCTTTCACCCTTTTTGTTGTCTTTATTCCTAAGTACTGTTGGACATTTGTTACAATTGCAATAAAAGTTTTTTAAAAAAATTTTTTATGTGTAATGGATGTATTGCCTGCATGTATGTATGTGTACCATGTGTGTTCTTGGTATCCATGGAGGTCAGAAAAGGGTGCTGGATCCCCTGGAAGTGGAACGACAGACAGTTGTGAGGCACCATGTAGGTGCTGGAAACTGAACCTCAATCCTCTGCAAGAGCAGCAAGTGCTCTTAATACCTGAGCCATCTCCTTAGCCCTTGTTGCAATTAATTATTTTTTTCTAATTTAAGGATTGTGTTGCTGGGATATAGTCAAATGTTTTTTTTTTTTTGAGATTCTTGCTTTGCTCTCCCTCAGAGATGTAGTTTGAGAAATATCTTATGAGGTGATCTTGTCCTTTTATGAACATCATAAAGTATTAATACCCAAACTAGGCTGCCATTAGGTGATGTGATTGTATGGGACCACTATGGTACCCATGGTCTGTGATTGGATGAAATATTATGTGATACATGATTGAAGGTGGATTGGCATTGGCGACCTTATAGAATATTCTTAACTAGGTTGCTTAAAGAGATTTTATGTAGATAATGATATTTGGGTGTAATAATGATAATATATTTTTATTCTTTGTAAATCTTATCCTGCTCTTCTTCATATTGGTGATGATTAGTATTAACCATCAGTTCAAAGCCTAGGAGGCAAGTCTTTGGGCACCCATGTGAGACATTGTGTAGATTACATTACTGATAGATTACATTACTGTGTAGATTACTATGAAGCATTGTTCAGATTACATTAACTGATACAGGACACCCCATCTTAACTGTGGGTGGTACCATCCCCTAGGCAGGGATCCTGGGCAGTGTAAAAGGGGAAGAACCGAGCTGAACCTTAGCATGTATACATTCACTGCCTTCTGTTCTTGACTGCTCTCTGTGACTTGCCCAGACTGTAATGTGAGCCAGATAAACCCTTAGACTCACAAACTGCTCTTGTCTGAGTGTCTTATCACAGACACAGGAGGAGCCCAGCACATTTCTTATTTTACCCGAGGTTTCCAACAAAGTCTAGGAGCAGGGAGAGATAGCATCCTTGTCATGTTCCTCATATTATACGTATTTCTTCCGAAGACTCGTGTCAGATGATACTGATGTAGAGTACCCGAGTAGCTGCAGTTTATTTGTTTAAAGAAAATCTGTGTTTAGGTATAGATGTATGCATTCACCCTACTCAGGACATAAGGCTTTCCTTAGCTTAGACGGCATGTCCTGATCAATGACAGCAATGCCTTTAACACACCTACCTTACCTACGAGCATAGCTTACTTAGCAACAGTGCCACCTGCTGGCTGGAGGCCGAGGTTCACAGAGACCTGCTCAGCATCAGGAGGGAGCAGACTGTATTGCTAGTCTCAGAAGACATCAGAATCCAACCTCTGAAGTAATACCTGCTGAACACACACTGCTTTCCCATTATTATAAAGTAAAATACTCTTAGGATGAGCCATCCTTAGTAGAGGACCATGAACATCACGCTTCTGGCTAGGGAAGTCGTTTCTTTCTGGCCTCCTCTCTAAGCATATGCGATTCTCCCTCATTTGCTGTCTTCTATAAGGAATCATCTCATTTCCCCTTCCCGTTTCTTCATTATATTTCACTATTTCTATATCTGTGCCATATTCTGTTTAACTTTTTCAAATTCATCTTCTGGTCACCAGTACATAATCAGTTATTATGTACTGTTATACTGTTAGTTTATTGCCAAATAGTTTTTGGTTTTCTATCAACTCTGGTTGACCTTTCTTAGCAAATTGTTTGCTCTTTGGCTTTGTGGTTTTTTTTTTTAATTTTCTTTTGCAGTAAATATTTTATTTTGTTCATTTTTGTGTGGTGCTGAGAACTGAACCCTGGGCCTCTCACAGACAAGGCTTTCCTCTTGAGCCTCGCCCTGTTCTATTTTAAACAGCTCATTTCTATGCTTTCTTTTCATATCTTCTGTGTCTGTGTCTCCTGGGACTTAATCCTGCTGCTAAACACGTCTTCCTCAGCTCGATTTCTTTCTTCAGTGAGCTATAGGTTGGGAGGAGATTACAAAGGAGAGCTAGGCCCAGTTAGCCTGAGGTACCTTGTGAGGCCTTGGCTGGGAGTGGGCCCCTTTGGAATGTTTTCTTTTTCATTCTCTTATTTCTGTAGCTTTGAATCAAATTTCTCATCTTAGATTTTCCTCATCATGTGGATAGTGCCTATTTAAATCCCAAATACTGTGACAGCAAGCTTGTCATTACTTCTTTCCAAGCATCTTTTCTGGTTCTTGGAGTCAGACCAGCATAGATAAGCTCCTTGGATTTTCTCAAAGCTGGCTGGCATCTGTCTATCCTTTGTAGCCCCCTGGACATTCTAGCTGTACTGGAGGTTCTTAGTTCCTACTCTGTTTCTTGTATGAGCCCAATTGGAGGTACATCGTATCCAAGCTTCATACCCTACTGAACCATGCGTATTGTCTTTACAAAAAATTGGTTGTAATTTTTATTTCTCTGAGATGATGGGCATCACAAAAATGAGCTAATTTAAATTTCTGATAAAATTTAAATTTATCAAAAATGTAGATTAAAAATTAAAAATAGCCGGTTGGTGGTGGTGCATGTCCTTTAGTTCTAGCACTTGGGAGGCAGAGGTAGGCGGATCTCTTTGAGTTCGAGACCAGCCTGGTCTACAAGAGCTAGTTCCAGGACATGCTCCAAAGCCACAGAGAAACCCTGTCTCAAAAAACAAAATGAAAACAAACAAACAAAAATTCTAGGCAGTAATGGCCTAGGCATTTTAGGTACTGCCTCAGCAGTGTCTGGATGTCTGTGGACTTTTTTTTTTTAACATACCTCCATTTTCTTTTCCAAACAATAGACCAATAGCGTTTCTTAGCCCCTTGTCTTTACAGACTCCAGCAGCCCTCACCTGTAGTCAGTCTTGGGTGTGGGTATTTGGTGAAAGTGGGGAGTAGAGGCCATACTAGGGGATTAGATTCCCTGCTTGAGGTATTCACTTGCTATCAACCTTAAAGGAAAGCGCGTGTTTTGTGGCACTCCTTAGCTAATGAGGGGCAGTGCCCAGGTGGGTGGACGAGCTCCAAATGCAGAAAGGAAACAGCTGAATGTGACAGAAAGAGCATAGATATCAAGACTAAAAGGCCCAGGTTCAATTCCCAGCTTCTCCCTTCACCACAGCAATGTGCTTGCCTTCTGTGAGGCAGCCTCAACATTTACCAACTGGTTATGATCACACATAACCTTATGAGATTGCTTTGGCAGCTGCTTGTCTTTTCCATACATAGTGGTTTAAGGTGTAGGCCAAGAGACAGCTGGCCTAAATTCAAATCTTGATTTGTCTCTGTGCTGGCTAGTGTTTCATCAGCTCAACACAAGCTAGGAAAGGTAACCTCAGCTGAAAAACAAATGCCGCTACCAAACTGGTTTGTGGACAAGCCTGTGGGGCATTTTCTTGATTGATGATTGATGTGGGAAGGCCCAGCTCACTGTGGGTGGTGGCAGCCCTGCATAGGTGGTCCTGAATAAGCCATGAGGAGAAGCCGGTAAGAATTTCCTCCATGGCCTCTGCTTTGGTTCCTGCTTCTAGGCTCCTGTTCTAAGCATCTTGAGGATGGACACTGATGTGCAAGTATAAACGAAGTGAACCCTCCCTGCCCCCAGTCATTTTTTGTTATTTTTATTACTACAGCAATACTAAGACAGTCTATGACTTACAATGGCCTTCCCAGAACCCCTTCTAGGCTTACTATTTTTATCTGTACAATACATATATAATAATGTATTCTTTATGTGTGTGGGACGTTAAGAAATTGTTTCTCTGCGTAATAGCCCTGACTGTCCTGGAACTCTATGGAGCAGGATGGAAACTCTTTGTAGACCATGCTGGCCTTGAACCCACAGAGATCTGCCACCGTCTACCTCCCAAGTGCTTGGATTAAAGGTGTGCGCCTGGTCCTGGCTCTGGGAGAGTTCTTATTAGTTCTTATTATTGTTAAGAGGAATGTAGACAGGTATGTGAGCTTAACCCCTCCCCAGTGAGAGCACACATTCCGAGTGTGTGAGCTGTCATTCAGTACTTACGCGTTTTCCTGGGCTGCCTCTTCAGCCTTGGAGACCTTTCTGTAGCAGTAGATCATCTCAATGAACAGCCACAAGGTGAGGAAGACCAGGAGGATGTACATCATGATTTCTGAGACCACGGAGGTGAAGTCTTCTCCCGCTACAAGGAGGAGAATGGGGTTCAGAACACATGTGTCCCACAGGACCCAGAGCTGTCGCTGGGCTCACAGATGTACGAAGCCTGTGTTTAAGTCTCAAATAAACGCCAAGTCTAGAGGAGCTTATGAGGATATCAAAGGGATCCCCATTGCCTGACTCCCTATCAGATTTTTCACTTGACTGTTCAGCTTTTCTAGACATAAGGATGAGGGGAATGAAAGTGAAAGAAGGAACGACAGTCAGAATGATTGCGGATACACACACACACACACACACACACACACACACACACAGTGTTGCATCCATGATATACTATCTACTGTGTAATACTCATTTCTTTTGGGTTTCAGTTTCTTAACCTGTAAAATGAGGATAATACTTCACAGTAGTCTGGATTGTTGCGAATGTTACATTACTCAGTGTATTTGAGGGTGATGAACTCAGGGACAGCCCAATTGCAAGGCGCTTACCTCATACCCCGGCACTATGCAACAAACAAACACATCAAAATAGCCCCACTGTCTTGTCAGATGTGAAGCTCCACACAGATATAAGGAACCTGCCTTATTCTAGCCACCTCTGACCTCCAAGCCACAGGTAGTAGAGGTGCTGTCCCCAGAGAGAAGGATCATTTAGGGCTACCATCGTCAGTGGTAGAAGCATGTTCTCCATGGGTCTGGAAGGAGAAATGAGGGCCTTCCAGGTTGTGCCAAACCTCAAGAGAAGTGAGTACTGGAGGGTTCAGGAAACTTATGAGGACTCTCCCCAGGTCGGCTCCTGAAGCACATGCATCCTTCCATCTCCCGTTTAAAATCCTCCAGTGCTCTCTCGCACGCCAGGATAAAGCCCGTCTCTAGTGACAGGATATGTACACCTTTTGTGGTCCATCCTTTCTCACGTCCCTTCCATTCGTCTTGCTAGAACCTCTCTTAGGTATTGGTATTCTTGACTATCTGGTTTGATCTCTTGCCTCCTCTATCCTGGGACCACGTCCTGCTTTTCAGCCTCCTGAGAAGGACCCTAGATTCTGCTGAAAGCCCCTCCAGGGGGAACTTCTCCTGGGATCTTGGGTAGCACTGATCCATCCATGCACAGTTTCCCCCAGCCCATAAGATCACTCCCGGGAGGCACTGTGCTGTGTGCATCCTTTCTACTGACCGCAAGAATGTGTTTTTGAAGTGTGAGCCTGCTTCTCAAATCTAGGTACTTAGACCTTCAGCTCTCTTTCTCCCATTAGAGCTGGAGGTCATGGGTGAAGCTGGGAGCATGGAGCATGAACATGTCTTTTCTGCGGGGCTTGCTAGGACCTAATGAATGTGTGTGATAGGCTTGCCATAAAATGTGCTATTTCTATTTTGGTGCCAAAGCTCCGAGGTAGTAACAGGAAGATTCCCTCTGTATTTCTGTCGCCTGTAGGAGAAGAGGCCACAGCTTCCTGTCTTAGAATGAGAACAGAGAGACTAAGCCTGGAAAAAGTCAACAAAGGAGAACCAGGCAGATTTTCTGGGGCTCCAGGAGTGGGGCAAACAGACATCTGTCATGTACCTGTGAGTGATCTGAGGGTGGGGAGGGCTGCCAAGGGGTTCCAGAGGCAAAATCCAAACCCAGAGGGAAAGCGTCATGGGGTAGGGAGGGCGGCAGAAAGAAAGATACAGTTGGGGGGTTAACTTGATAGTGGAAAAATGTGGATGTTGGTCCCCGTTCTCATGGTGCTTCAGGCTCCTAAGTAAGCCCTTTGCTCCTCAGAGCACTCCCGCCACACCTGTAGCCTCCATGTGCCCGAGGGGGCCATAGGAACACAGATCACCGCTCCTGAAGTCATACCCACAAGGGCGCCTGCATTAAATACTATGCAAACTCCTTCCCAACCCTACCGCCTGTGTGGCTCTGTTGTTCTAATTATGAATTTGTTTTTTCCCCTCTGTTCTTACCTGAGGATTGCTCTGGTGACAAACAGGCAGGCTAGCACAGTGGTGCCACACTTTCTCATGGGCTGTGTCCCCACATCTCTGGAGGCCAGAGCCAGAGAGAGCAGGAGATAGAGACCCACAGGCACCTGCCGTTGAGCCAGCAGGCACCAGTCAACAGTTCCTCGGGTGAACACAAGATGGCACCAGGCTCCCTTCCCCCGGGAGGAAAGATTGCATAAACAAATGAGGGTAATGGAACTTTAAAGAGATTTTTACCTCAGAGAGCTCCCTGTTCAACCCCCCTGTTTCCTCACCAGAGGACACAAGCACTGAGAACGGATGAGCAAGTTTTCATTCAGGTGGCCTGAACCTGCTCCAAGTTCAGAACCAGACCTCCCTTCCGCTAGAGGTAGTTACAGTGTCTCATTGTCATTCACCCTCAAGACCCAGCAACTGTCACTGCCTCAATTTTGTAACAATGATACCTTTTATTTTCAAGCTGAGTGGCCTGAAGGCTGTGATTCCTCCACTCCCTTGCTTAGGGCACACTCTTTCTATACCTGTCTTCTCTCTCCACAGCCTGCACCACCACCACCACCTGCTCATGAGCTTGTATCTTAGGGCAGTGATAAGAACATGCTGGAAATATTACTGTGTGAGAGGTTCTGAGAATGGCATGGCGGCCTAGCCCTGGTGAGGAAACATGAAAGGAAGGTGCAGGGTTCACATTCTGCCTTGGGAAGGAGTGTTTGCCAGGGCTGTGAGCCACAGTTCTTTGAGTCTCCTGATAGTGGCGGAGGAGCACTTTGTGCGGTTCCCCCACGATTCTGGACTCAGATTGCACGGGAATGCAATATACAAGTTAGGTTATTAACAGAATTTTCCACCTGCCACCAACAAATGCAAAGAGTCTGTTGACTTTAAAGACTAGAGAGCTAGCAACTTGTTCCCACTCCTAGCTGAAGACAGACACCTGTAGAGAGAGATACTGTAGATGGGGAATGGCCAGCAAGATGGATCGTCAGGTAAAGGGGCCTGCCACCAAGCCTGATGAACTGAGTTCAATGCTATTACCACATAGTAGGAGGAGAGAATCAGCTCCCATGAGCTGTTCCCTGAACTCCTCATACACCATGGCACATGTGTGTGCATGCAGAAAGGCAGACATACAGACAGACACAGAGAGAGAGGAAAGAGAGAGAGAGCACAAATAAATGGAAATTTAAAAATTTAAGACTCTGAGGAGACTTGAGGCTCACTAAATTTTGAAAGCGATTTGTTTGGAGATATATGTGGCTCGCAATAGAAGAGATGATGTTTACATATAAATTAGGGACTCAACACCGGCCAGAGAAAAAGGCATGCCTGAATTGTTAGCTGGAGGCCTTGTGGAGGCTGTCCTTTTCCTCTAGGGAACCAGGGAAGTTATCCTAATATCTTGTTTTAGCCTGTCTGCTCTGAGGGAAGCCACAGCAAGGGCTTCTGACGAGGCAGGTTGTAGGAAGTGGGCCCTACAAGGAAGGCAGATCTGCGTATCATATGTGTGGAAAGCCACTGTCCTCCACCCCAACCCCTGAAGAGACTCTGGGCCCCAGTCTTACCCTCTTCAGTGACTCTCAAGGGTATTAGTCTCGTGGTCTTCACAAAGGGCCTGTGTGCCTCAAATTCAAACTCCCTGGACACGTTGCATGTGTAGAGGCCAGAGTCGTTCAGCGTGACATTGAGCACAGTGATGGACACATCCTGCAGGTCTTTGCTCCCATTCCACTGCAAGCGACCTTGGAAGGGGCTCTCCACCTCCTGGTGGCCATTGCGATACTCGTATATCTGCAGAGAGAGGAGCGGAAGCAGATGGTGGCAAAAGACAGGGAGGAAGGAAGAGCAGGAGTTTCCATGGGCAGGCAAACTAAGGGACAAGGTTACCAGAAGACCCAGAGCATGGGGTGGGGGTGGGATAAAAGGGCACAGAGGAAGCCGAGGGAGAGAGTGAAGACGGGAAAGCAGTAGAGGCAGACAGTTGTCTGGACATGTGGACATGGTGAAGGGAGAGGCAGCATGGAATAGTCAGAAAGAATCCTGGGTGAACAAAAAGGAGCAGAGTGGAGAAGAAAGGAGGGTGGCTGATCCGTGAAGGAGACTAGTAACAGGAAAAGGAAATGATGGAGACAGAAAGGGCGTAAGGAAGGACAGTGAGCGAGGTGATGAGGCGGCTAGCGACGGAGAGGATATAGAGACCAACCAAGCAGCTGTGAGCAGGAGTGATACCCGACAGCCCTGAGCTTGATGCCTGACTCTCTGACCTGGCATCCATCATGGTGGTTGTGGCCAGGACACATACGGGAATCCAGAATGTGGAAGGAAGGCCAGTGAGCAGAGAACTCAACAACAGAGAGGCATGTAGAGCCTTTGCTTTGGGCCGAAATAGAACCAAAGTCAGCTCTTTCCCACTTCTTTCTCAGATACTTCCACTCTGACACGACACTTTTCCCGTCTAGGCTCCACTAAGCGTGGGTGTGGACTAAAATTCACACTCATGTTCATAGACATTAACATTTAGTGCCTCAGCTGCATGTTGTGGTCTGGGTCAGGTATACCAGCAGCAAATGCAGCTAGCCTGTGATAAGGCCTGAAGCCCATGGGCCGGTCCTTCCAATCCAGCCATGACCCCTGGCTTCCTAGAACTGGGCACTAAATCTGAGTATTCCTTCCCTGGTGTACGACTCAAGCTTAAGTTAGACTCTAAAGAGTCGCTGCTGGTCCTTGCCTTGGCACCGACCTAGATTCAAATACCACATACTACCTAGAATCAGAAATGAATCCACTTGCGGGGTCGGGAGGGGAGAGAATGAGCAAGTGAAGGTCAATGTTACCATGTTGTTGTCTCCAATAGGTGAAGAGACCCAGGAGAGCAAGGGAGAGCTCCAGAGAGAGCCTTGGGTCTGCTGTCAGACCACCATATACAGATCTAAACTTGTGTGTGTTCAAATCTAAACTCTGTTACTAAGTTAACGTTATTCTTTTGCTCGTCACTTTCCCCAACGAACACACCATATTTCAAGGACATTTAAAATGAATTAGAAATCAGAGCTCGCGTGTCCTGCCTGGTAACAACCCCATCATGAAGCTTTTGTTTTTATTCCCGCTTAAAAGGACAAAATAATTGGAGGCATCAAGAGATTGACTATGTCTAAGGGTATGGAGCCAAATAGCCTGAAGAAAAGAATCAAAGCCAGGCAGCCTGATTCCAGAGTCAGTGAAAGTATGGACACTGATTTAAATGAACTACAACCCCTTGAGCGCTGTCCCAAACTAGAACTGACATTGACCCTGACCTTGGCACAGAGTCTGGAGGGCCTCTTACCCTGCCAGGAGTGAAATCCTTGGTGTATAGCCCATTGAGGTTTAGGGTTCCTCTTGGGGAGAATGGCAGCATGACCACCCGGGGTACAGCACGTGTCAAGAACTGACTAAACAATTGACCCACAGAGGTAGCTCTCCTGGGCATATCAGTTCATACAAGGTCTGGTCATCTCAGTTGCTCCTACTTCACTGGGACTGTGATAGTTGGAAGAGCTACCCATGCTACTTCATATAAAGTTACCTTGCTTGCTTTCTTTCAACTTCATTAAGTCCATTTCAGAGGACTGCATGAAAGATGAACACACCTGTAAGAGGTCTACTAGGGTGCCTAGCCCACACAGCCTCTATCAACACATTTACCTCTTTGTACCCCCTTCTCCTGCTTGTAACTAGGATTGCTTACAGCTGGCCGAGTGCCTGCTTTGCAAAGACCCTGGGCGACTCTAAGGCTGTCAGTTATCTGCTGAGGTGATGTCAGTGCTCAGAAGAGGAGGGAATGTCAGGTCAAGGCATCATCTCCCAGACTGTCGGGAGCCAGGCATACAACAGCATAGACCAGCAAACGAAAGACCAGAGGCAGCAGTCTGACATACAAGGAAATCTTTACCGCCCTCAGGCCTGTAGAACCATTCCACCACAGTGGTGGCCTCCACCTCCTCCCTCTTCATGCAGGAGATGCAGCGCAGCTTCATGAGTTTGCCCTGCACGGCTTCCGTCTCCGAGGGTACTTCCACACACACAGGGAAGCAGACTCTGACTGGAGAGAGGATGGGTGACAAGAAGGGGACAATCAGAGTGGGCGTGGGGGAATGAGGAGGGAGGGAGGAAAGACAGAGAAGAAAGAATCATGAGACACGCTTGAAAATAACAAGATCCACGTGTGCATCTGTTGCTAGGGCTCCTTGAGTGCGCATGAGCAGAATGGATCTCGATTAAGATGGTGCAGAGATGGATCTTGACTGGAAGGTTTTGGAAGCCATGAAGATGCAGGACAGGATGAACTTGAGTCTAACCTCAAAGCCTTGGAGTCTAGGAGGAGACAGACCATGCTACCATGCGTCAACTGTCCATTCACTTGACCATTCATCCAGCAGTCATGACAATCCATTTTTTTTGTCGGGTCTGATGCTAGATTAGAGACTCAAGAAAGAACAAAACACTAACCATGTTCTCCATGCATCTGTAACCTAGTAAAGAATACATTTCGTGTGGTGATTCAACCCGACCACACAAGAGGTCATGTTGGTAATGTGCCCAGGTCCACGAGGGGCAATTAGTTACTTGTGCTTGGACTGAGGAGAAGAGGAGAGAGGACTGGTGGGCCATGAAATAGAAAGGTAGATAGGACCCACGCTGAAAAGACCTGCATGCACTTTGTGGTGTAATATATTGAGGACTCTAACGTCAAGCGGAGAGGGAATCTAAGTTTGGGGACCCATGAAAAATGGTGCAGCATCAGTATAAATATGGCGAATGGACCACTTAGTCTGGAGCAAAGCTCTGTGCAGAGTAGAGAGACAGAATTCAAATTCCGGAGGAGTCAGATGATCAAACACCACCTTGTACACCACATGGAGGTTTGGACTTTTGGTTCCCACCCTCTAGAAACTCCAAGTCCAAAGAAAAAAGGTGACTATGTCAGATTGCAAATTCAGAACTAATCAAAATCGGGACACAGATGCCAGAACAAGTGTGGGATGCATTAGCAGACGCACAGTGTGCAGAGGGAAGTAGGGGTAGTTCTGTAGTGTTCAGAACAAACCTGGATGCTGTGATCCATTCAGCATCTCACGTTCAACAAAAGGGGGCCGTTCATGCGTGCACACCCAAAGGTGGTCAGGAAAGCCCATCAGCAAGACCTGGTAAGGGACAAATGTGGGAACATGGGGTGCTGAACTTGGACACAGGACAGGTTTGTCTTCAAACATTTCGGGCTGACAAATAGAAAAGAAAGAGTCAAATTTAAAAGTTTTAAACATCAGTTTAGTGCGGTGAATTTGTTTTCCTTCTGGTGTTTTGAGACAGTGTCTTACTGTGTTGCCCAGGCTAGCCTTGAACTCACAATCCTCTTGCTTCAGTCTCCCTGGTGAGATTATAGGCATGTGGTGTCAAATCTAACTTTAAACAAATCCCTCTTAGTTAGCCAGGATTTGCTGCAGGTGTGAGGTCAGTATGGGCTACTGAGTACGACCCTGTATCCACTAAATTAATAGCAAATATTGGTTTGGAGCCGTGGCTCAGGTGGTAGAGTGCTTGCCTAACATGCACGAAGCTCCAAGATTGAATAAATCGGGTGGAGCGGAACATGCTTGCAGTTCCAGCCCTCAGGATACTGAGGTAGGAGGATCAGAAATTCAGGGACTTCCTAGCTACTTACTGCATTTGAGGCCAGCCTAAGTTACAGGAGACTTTGTCTCAAAAAACAACTTAAAAATAAAATATATTGTCAGATGCTGCAGCTGTTCATAAACACTATTTGGTAAGGGATTTTATACCTAAGAATTGGGGATCCTCTGGTACCCTGTCCATGAATTAATGACAAGCATAGGCTCTGCAAGGCGGAACAAAACACACTGATATTTCAAAATTAGCTCAATGTCATATTTCATTTTAAACATGGGATTTGGAACCTGTTGGCACTATAATTAAAGTTTTAAGAATGTTCTAAATGAAAAAAAAAATGAATTGGCTTTGAAACAAACCCTCAAGGGAAGGGGGCTAGCCTCATCCTGTAGTCTGCAGAAGAACGTTTTCATTGTTTTAATGGAGAAAGGTCCATATCTTGGGGAAAATTATTAGAAATATGTTGGGCATGTGGTAAACTTATAGTCTTCATCACAGACTCACTTTCAAAGCAACTGAAAAGCATTACTGTATAAAGTGTATGCAGCAAGAACTCCATGTAACATAGATTCTCATATTCGGTGAGGGGTGCCAGAGATAAACAGACCAATATGGACGGTCTCAAAGGCATGAAAGGAAAAGTCCCAAGGAATGCACCCTTACAGCAGTAGAAGCAGGGTGAAAGTGGTGTTTGAAAATTTAAGGATTGTGTTTGAATCACTGCCTAACTTCTCTGAGACTCAGTTTATTCAACAGTGTTTTTTAATAAAATAAAACACCCAGTAGATAGGTCATGAAAATCCTATGAGTTAATTTACACAATTGTATCCTGAATCAATATCATTAATAATGGTATTTATCTCCATTTATTTGGTGAATGTATTGAGTACCCACTGTGCAGCCAGTATGGTACCAAGAACCAAACAAACCCATCCCAGCTCCCTTGGAGCCTGAATCTCAATGGGGTGGTACAAGTAGGTTACAAAACAAATTAAAGCAGCAGAGGAGGGAGAGAGGATGAGGGGAGGTGGGGAGGAAGGGAAGGCAAGGAGAGGAGAGGAAGAACATATTATCAGGACTGGCCTCACTGAGAATGGAACACTGGCATTGGGAAGCTGCTGAAGAGAAAAAAAAAAGAAGCCACAGTCTGTGTGAGGTGATGACAAACAAGAGGGTTCAAATGAGTATGCCTGTCATATCGAAGGAACAGCAAAGCCCAGGGTAGGAAACCAGCGAGCAGTGAGAACAGAGACAGGGAGGGGAAGGGGAGGGTCCCATCTCGCCCGGTCTTATAGGACACAGAGCTTTGACTTTTGCACAGCATGAACTAGGGAACCTTGAAGGCTCTGAGTTGAATAATATGATTTCTACTATGTTGCACGGTCAGTGTGCCAAGGGGAGAATAAATTGACAGGGGAAGTGGATTCAAAGGTAAAAGCAGAAAGAATGATTAAGAGGTTTGTACAGGGCCTGGCAAGATGGAGCAGCCGATAAAGCCACTTGCAGCCAAGGTGAACAAACTGGAGTTCAACCTCTGTGTCCCACGTGATAAAGGAAAAGAACTGACTTACATAAGTTATCTTTTACCTCTCCACACGTGCACAGTGGCATGTGCTTCCCCAACACAAGAAATAAATCCAATAAAATCTTAGGCAGCCAAAGAGATGGCTCAATGGTTAAGAGTTCCTGTTGTTCTTGCAGAGGACCTGAATTTGGTTTCCAATGCCCATGTCAGGTACTTTATAACCATCTGTAACTTGAATTCCAGGGGATGTGATACCCGCCTCTGGCCTCTAGGGCAGCTCCAAACATGTACATATACCTCCACATCAAAACACACACACACACACACACACACACACACACACACACACACACGAAATGATTTTTAAAGAAAAATTTTAAAAAGCTGTACAGTGGTGAAACTGGGCAGTTCTTTTGCCTAGGTGATAGCAGAGCTAGCTTACACAATGTTGCATAACAGAATTGGGGGCTGTGCTCTCATGAACACATAGCTGGATTGCAGAGGAGGACTGCAGGCATTCATTTGTAATGAGGGAGGAAGCACCCTGCACAGTCAGAGTGTTGGGTGTCGGTGGCAGTGCATGGGATGTGGCTGCCTCCTTTAGAGGGCCCTTGGAGGGAAGACCCACTGTGAATCTTCTCCTGGCCAAATCCAGTTTTTAGGCAAGACAACTCTGCTCCTGCAGTCCCAGACAGCACATTACACAATGGCCACAAAATTCTCTCACCTCATTTGCTTGCACCTTGCAATGGGACCTCCTGCTCCTTCCATCAACAGGGAAGTCAGTTTCCCCACCATGCCACTGCCTTGTTTCCTGTGAGATTATCTAGGTACCTTCAGAAGGTGGAACGCATGGAAGAGGTCAACCACATCACTGGCTATATATCATAATCTCTTGGAATGTTCTGGACTGCATCATTGACCTTGGAATCCAGCTTCATATGAATACAATAATAATGAAGACAATCATGAAAAAAGTGACAAATTAAGGATGACAGATAACAAAAAAAAACCACCTAAAAAAACCCTTCTCTGTTCCTTCCAGATCTTTCTCTTCTTTGCCCTTCCTGAACTTTCCCTAGACTGCTTCCTCTACAGTAAGATAATGAAGGCTTTAATTATAATGTAAATAATGTTCAAGGGGGGGACACGAATAAAGTTATTTTTAGACCTTAACATCCTGAAATGATTTGGTCTATCAGATTAGCAGAGCCTTGAAGGAATGAGATTCAGGAAGGGCTGCCAAGAGAAGAAAAATCCCCCAATACAGGGGACCCTTGGGGGAGCAAAAGTAGAGAAGGCACTGGGAGCTAAAGGATGGATGAAGTCCTAGGAAAAGGGGGTGGCGTTGGGGGATGAGAGGAAGGCTTAGAGGAGAAATACCAGGACCACTGTCCAGTTGACAATTGCACACAGCATCACATGTGTCTACAAGGAAGACAGAGATCGATCAGGAAGACAGCAGCTCTCTAGCAAGCCCTCTGTCCTTTATGAACTCACATTCTCATGCCCTAAAGTGGAAATAGCTCACATGTTGCCCCTACATAACATGGTGATCAAAAGGCCTAATGGATACAAGAATTATTTGCAAATAAAGGAAAACTGTACTGGTGAGTGAGGCTCGTCCCCCACATAAACAACCGAGCATTCTGAAACCCTTATTGGCTGAACCAATGTTTGTGCCACAGAATCTTGGAGCGAGCAAGGATAAATGTAACCTGTCCTGTTAGTTATCCCCAAGATTTTTGAGGGAGCAGGGAAGACATGCCCTCTGAAAGTTCTAGTAATATTCTATAAATATTCCCTTCTGATTACTTGTGAGCTGAAAGGGGTATTAGATATGATCTGTGACAGCTCCCAGACTTCACATTTATCAGGCATTCTGGGGATGTCACCAAATAAAAATGAAGAAGTAGGACCGGTAGAACTGAGAAGCAAACCAGAGCTTTGTGGTTCCTAGCCCCAGACTGCTGAGGCTGCAGCATTTCCCCAACCCCCAGCCCACTGGAAGTGGGGAGGGAACTTACAGATTTAGAGTTTGGAAAAAATTCTCTACCGACCTCTTTCAAGCCCTCTCTACAACTTGAACCTTACCCCCCCACTTCCTTATCCTGTCAGACTAACTAACCCCTCCCAAGCCTCGCAGCCTAGCATTTCCCTGGAGCAAATAGCAGCCTTGATCTTCAAGACAGGTGAGCTCACTAGCAGCGCATTATGTCAGTTTCATCTCCAAGTAGACTGTGGTCTACAGGGAATGGGCTGTGGTGAGTCTGCCCCTGGGGTTGGTGTTATTTTCTTCCTTTTCCGTCCTATTCTTGTTTCGTTAGGCATTTTGTTCAACAGGAAACTGGGCGCTTCCTCTGGTCACATGCAAAATCCAAATAATGCATGCAACTACATTTTGTATCCAAGGCTTGACAACGTGGTGTGAAGGCAAAGAGGCATGCCTGCCACTGCCCAGGCAGTGGGGGAGCCAAGCCCAGTGCAAGAACATAATCCCACAAGCCTACTTTCTGTAACAGAGATGGACACAGTTCATTATGGGTTTTTTTTTTCATATTTGAGCTTGGAGGAAGGTAGCTAAACTGATTTATGAACTGAAGAGCACCTATACTTGATATGAGGGCTGGGTCAGAGACATGAAAGCAAAGATGCCAGAAATCACACACACACACACACACACACACACACACACACACACACACACACTGCTGAGTCTCACTAATCCATTTAGATACTCATACTAATATGCTCAGATACATGCTAGTGCATATAATTATAAACAGGGACATATATTTACATCCAGTAAAATACTGCATGTATCACAGTATTTTATCAGCACCTAGATGCCCAGTTCCCTCAGCACTCATTCAGGTGCCCTGTAGTAAGCTATACTTGAGGCTATTTAGCCCAGCATTATTTTCACAAGTTCCTTAATTAGAGGGGCAATGCCATCTCAGTCAGTCTCTCACAGCTAACAATCATTCCAAAAAAAAAAAACCTACAAAAACTCCAGCAAACAAAACCAACCAGCTAACCAAATACCACAGCACCCCAGCTCCAGATGTTCCCGTAAACTAAATGCACTTCACATCTATCAATGCACACCAACCAATGACTGGAGCCACTCACTCTCTCACCCATTCCTTGTTAAAATTTAACAGATGGGTCAACTACAGTCTTTTCTCTCTAAAATTCATGCATCCAGTTTTTGTGCTTTATATTTTGTTTTTCAAGTAGAAAGAAATGCTCCCCCAACCCACAGAGATGTTCAGGACTGAGTCTCCACTGAGTAATGCAATGTAAACACAAGCGAGAATTTTAAAATAATGGATTAGGATACACTCCTTTCAGCAGAGGTGTAAGCTAGGGGAGGACATAGGGATAATTAGGAAAGCAGTGAGGCTGGAAGAAGCACCAAAGAAGGTTGGGGGGGGGGAATACCAAGCCACAGGGCAGTCGGGGAGGTGCCTTTGCAACCTCCAATGCCAGCCTTCTGGGAGCACATGTGGACACCCATGTCTGGCAGACATACACAGAAGGAAGCCAAGCAAGCTCCTTTTTGTCACCAGTGACATCAATTAAGTGTTATTATTGTTATCGTGATGCCTGTTACCTGCATATTGCAGGGCAGGGTGCTGTACTTACCCCAGTAGACGAGCATGAGGGATGCTAGGGGAAGCAATCTGTTGAAGGCAGGCATCTTTTTCTGTAAGTGGTTTCTGGAGCTAAACAGAGAGAATCTCTGTCAAAGACTGCGCCCTCTGATTCTTTCGAGGAAACCCTTAGGGATCAGCTGCCCCTAAGGGAGCGACCTTCTGAGTGGGAGGAGGAAGAAAGGTCATGCGCCCTGTCTGGGGGGGTCTGCGGAATCCGGTGCTGAGTGTGGGTGTCAGCTCAGGCCACCTCGTGCTCTCTCGCTGGAGCGAGACCCGGGCTTGGCTCAGCACCACGGACAGTAGCCTCCCCGCCCACCCCGTTCTTGGAATTCCAATCTCTCCCCAGCTTCTAGCTTTGGCAACCAAAGCAAAGTGGGCTAGGAAGGGAAGCGCACAGCCGCCCGGGGATGCTGGGCTGTCCAAGTCGATTCACCTTTCCCCACCCCTGGGGACAGCGACACTCCGACTTAGATCCTCCGAGACTCAGGAGCTCCGGCAGGCTTCTCGGCCTGGGTGTGTCCCCACTCCAGCCGTCGTCTGGGCTACAGAATTTGTTCCACCTCAGTCTTGTACACAGGGGCCCGGGCTCCCGGGCGGTCCTCCGGGGGCTGGAAAAGAGGCGGGAGCTCCCGTAGGGTTGGTGATCTCAGAGGTGGTAGAAGGAAGGAACCCCTTCCGTGGAGCGCGCCCCTGGATCCTGTGGATCCCCGACGCTGGGTGATTGGGTGATCAAGCCGCCCCTCTCCAGGGCCGCCCCCTTGCCGAATGTGTTGCCAGCCTTGACATGCGCAGGCCGCTCTTCGCCGGTCGCTACGGACCCTCCCCCTTGAACACACATTTCCCTCCCCTAAATCGGCGTGCCCCTCCCAGGGCTGGCGCGCTGAGAAGAGGGGGCGGAGCCCGGCTCAGAGCAAACACCTCCTGCCGAGGTGGCTTCTTGTCTGGCTAGCTAACCGTCACTCAGGACTGCTACTGTCTGGGCTACTCTCTGGTTTATGGACACACAGTTACCTACCAATTCGCTCCCTCCAGACAACCCTACTCTCGCTGCCTCCTGAGTATGCTTGCCCTACAGCTCTGGGAAAGGGAGGAACACATCTCCTTGAAGCAATGATGTCATCTATAATGTTCCCAGTGTTAAGCTGGCTCTCGCTGGCTTCTTTTCGCCCTCCACCCCATCTCCTCCGGTCCTGTCTGCCTAGCCTTTGTCTTGCCTTGATTAATGGGTTCCCAACACAAAGGGCACAGCAAGACAATTTCTGCTTATGGCAAGTGGAGTAGGGTGTGGCACACCTGTTCCCACCTCATGGGTCAGCCTGGATCCAAATTCAGGCTTGAGAGAAGCTTTGGGGTGGGGATAAAGAAGGACAGTTTTCCGCTTCCTAGGTTCTTTGCGGTCCCCCTCCCCCGGACCCCGCCCCGTAACCATTTGTAAAAGGCAGATAGATGGTTTTGAGGCGTTTTCCAACTCTTAGCCACTCCCTACTCCTAGCAGCTGCTCAACATCCCCGCCCTATTTCTGGAAGGGAAACCTGAACCTTTACACTCAGATCTAAACTCGAGTTGATTTAACGGATTAGGCATGCCTGGAATGGAAGGGCAAGCCTGGCCCCAGCCATGGTTCCCTTCTCTTCTCCTGCTCTCTTGCTGAAAGGGGGGGGAACTTAATACTGATATTTCGAAAAGGAATCCAGAGTAACAGCTAACTGTAAATGAACTGTACACAGGAAATGCTCTATACTAAGATGTCACACATGGAGACACAGAAGATCCCCAATCAAGTTTCTTTTTCTTTCTTTTTTTTATTTTTATTTTTTTATTTTGTTTTTTCGAGACAGGGTTTCACTGTAGTTTTCGATCCTGTCCTGGAACTAGCTCTCGTAGACCAGGCGGGCATCGAACTCACAAAGATCCGCTTGCCTCTCCCAATCAGGTTTCTTGCTGGGCACAGAGCCATAGGGTCACAAACACCATCTTGTGTTGAGTATCAGCTCTTGAGGTCCTCAAAATTGACATTAGCAACGTTTTTTTTTTTTTCTTTTTTCTTTTCCACCTTGTGAATCAGTGAGAAACATTCCTGATAAGTGTGCTTGGATTTTCTTGTTGTGACAGCTCACTCTTCACAATTTAACCCCTTCTGGTGTTTAAGGAACTTCTCTCGACTCATTTGAATTCTGTACTCCTTCCTCCCCAAACTTCGTCAAAATGCTCTTAATACATTTTCCTTAATAAGGGAATTATTTCCTCCATCTTCTTGTTTGGGACTAAGCTACCTTAGCGCACACAATTTTCTAGTCAGTTCCAACCTTAGGCCACCCTGGCCGCTTTCCTGTAGGATTTTTGATTCTTCAGCATGATCCTTTAGTGACGTCATGAATAGGAGCTGGTGTTTTCTGTGTGGTCTGAGAAGAACAAGTGCTGCGGAATTAGCACACAGTCGCTTAGGAGGGACATTTTATTAAAATACACCTGCACAGCTCATGCATCATAATATTAGTACATTCAGTTGAAACCTGAAGGATTTGTCCCCGGACTTGTTGCAGAGTCGTTTTGTACTTATGCATAGAATTTGGAAAATTTCATTATGAAACTTAGCAATTACTGTTAAAATTTATTAGTTCCAGGCATTGAATTCTGTCAATAGTGTTATTGAATTTCTGTTCAGCCGTGAAATATCTCTTCCTGCCTAGGTTTGATTTCATCTGCCGTCATGGAAATCACTTACTCTGAACCCTGCAGAAGAGGGGGAGGAGGGATTGCAACAGCCAGTGGGTAGAGGACACCACGGGAACATGGCCCCTGGAATCTCAACTAAGCAGGGCTCACAGGGGCTCCCAGAGACTGAAGGGACAATTGCAGACCCTGCATGGGTCTGAGCTAGGTCCTCTGCACATATATACCTTATGGTTGTGTAGCTTGGTGTTCTTGTGGGACTTCCAACAGTGGGAGTGGAGAGTGTCTCTGACTCTTTTACCTCTGCTTGGGACTCTTTCCCTCCTACTGGGTTGCCTTTTCCTGTCTTTATATAACTTGTTAGGTCATGTTTGGTATCTCTGGGGAAGTCTGCTCTCTCTCTCTCTCTCTCTCTCTCTCTCTCTCTCTCTCTCACTCTCTCTGGAAGGGAAATGGAGAAGGAATGGATTTGTGGGAGAGGGGAGGTGAGAAATGGACTAGAAGGAGTGGAGGGAGAGGAAACTGCAGTGGGGATGTAATGTATGAAAGAAGAATAAAGGGAAAAAAGAAAAGGAATCTTTTTTAGCACACGAACAGATAATAACAAACCGACAGCAGGTCCTGGCATGCTCCTAAGACAGGACCCTAGCTTAATTTTTTCTTTTTAAGCACAGTAGCTTAGTCTCCGAGACCCAAAGACATTTTTCTACTTGCACATATATTGCACAATACATTTTGAAAATTTAGAATAAACGTCAATAATCAGATTTTTAGTAATCTAAAGAAAAGAAGCCGAATCAATGCTTCACGTTAAATTTTGATTATAATTTATTTATTGTTTTGTGTGTTCATAAGTGATGTATATGGGCAGATGTGTGTCCTAGTATGTGTATAGAGGTACAAAGACAGCTTGTGGGAGTTACTTCTGTCCTTCTACCTCGTGGATCCTGTGTGTGGAACTCAAAACATCAGACTTGGTGCAAATGTCTCTATTCTGCAAGCATCTTGCCAGCCCTGTTCTGATGATTGATTCACCAGCAGCATTTTAAGTGTTTCTTTGGTAAGTCTTGAGATTTTGGGAAATGTACTTCCTTCCAGTTCTCACAAGCCATTTTCCAGAGTTCTTGGTCTCTTTGTTCTTCTGCTGTTTCCTTCTGGCAGGAGCTTTCTGCCACATTTGCAAGTACCTTAAGTTCCTTGAAGTACATCTGGTCTTGTTCTGAGACGTCATTTTAAATTTAAATTTTATTTTATATGTATGGGTGTTTTGCCTGCGTGTGCATCTGTGCACTGTGTATATGCAGCGGAAGACAGAAGAGGGTGTTAGATCCCTTGGAATTGGAGTTACATGGATGGTTGTGAGCACCCATGTAGGTGCTGGGAATCGAACCTGGATCCTCTGGACAAGTAACAAGTGCTCCTAACTGACAAGCCATAGCTCTAGCCCTTGTTCTGAGAGCTTTTAACTTACTTAACGCAGTAAGTTATCCCTTCCTCTTTGGGACCTGTATCGATGTGTCTTGCTGGTATTAGCTTGGTCTTTTCCATGTAGCAATCATTGTGCTTTTCCTGCTGATTCATGAGGCTATGGGTAATGATTGATCTTGACTACTGGCTGGTTGGATTGAGCACCTGGGAGGTTAGAAAGGCAGACTCTGGCCTTCTCCAAGAGGCTTAACTAAGGAGGACAAACCCACCCTGAATATGGGAGACACCACCACATGGGGCAAGGACTGGATGGACTGAAAGGCAAAGGAGAAAGTCTCATAGTGCTGGTACTCTGTCGTTCTGATTCGCAAGCAATAACAGGTGAGTTCTGCTCCCCCTCACCCTCCTGCCATGATAATATGACAGCTCTACAACCATGAGCCCCCCAAAACCTTTTCTTCTTTAACTTGATCTTGTCAGGTATTTTGTTGCAGTGTTGAAAAACTGACCAATACACCATATGATCATTTTTTTCTTTTTTTAATTGTTTTTATTGAGCTATGTATTTCTCTGCTCTCCTCCCTTCCTCTCCCTCCACTTTTACCCTCCCCCATAAATACGATCAGGTTTCTAAGCAGTTGACATAGCAGTCTATATTCCACAAGGTCATATATCTTTGTCTTTTGGTGTCCACAGGTTCTTGATTTCAGATACTCAACTCTATAGATGCCCAAGTCCATTCTTTAAAGTGGAATTGAGTTCATATATAATCTGTCCGCTCCTCACACTTTAAATTATCTCTAGGTTACTTACAATAACTAATGCAATGTATGCACATGGTGGGAAGAGCAGCAAGAGTCAAAGCTAGGCCACCAGTATGGATCAGCGGACTGAAGGACTTGGTGCCAAGGCTGATGGCCAGAACTCACCAGATGGAAGGGGAGATTAGATTCCGAAAGTTGTCCTCTGATCTCCACACGCGCTCTGTGGCATTTCATGAAACACATTGTTTTTTCCTGAATGTTTTCAGCCTGTGACTGGGGGAATCCATTCCCTCAGAGCCCATGCATACATGACTGTGCCTTCTTCAGTCAAAGCCCTCCCATGTCATCTTCTTGTCCTAAAACACAATCTTGAATCCTCTGCATAGTGTAGTAAGTTGGCCCTAAGCCTTGGCTGTCTTCTCAGAGTTGTTGACAACTCTCTGCCTTGTCCACAATGTTCCACCTACACATCATTAGAAAACAGATAACCAACAAACTCACCAAGCACTCATTATCATTATTATTACAACCCTTGTACCCAACATGACATGTCCTTATCCTGAAGTGTTTTCCATTCTTTGACTTGTTTCTTATCCTTTCTGCCTTGTCTCCAATGCCCTCCCCTTAGAGTGGCATGTCCTGGCTCCCTCTTCTAAACCAGTGTCTGCCCTGCCCACCTACTTCACTTGAAGCTTCTCTACCTCATTTTCATTTCTTCTTTTCACATTTTCCTTAACTATTCCAAATTATTTGATTCTAGTTTAAGTACCTCCATTCCAACTCCTCTCACCAGGATGCTTCTCCATGACAACAGCCTTCTTTGTTCTGTTCCTTGCTCTGTTCCTCGGTATGGACTGGTGTAGTCAGGCACCGGGTGGGTCCTCTACATAGAGGACTCAAGCCAACAAATAATGAATGGAAGAGAGAGTAAGAATAGTATAGAAGGGGAATG